CATGGCCTCTGGGTCCAGGGCCTGGATGGGGCCTGCTCACCGGTGTGCCCTGTGAACAGGTGCAGAAGGTGTGCTGCTGGGCCTTCCCTTAGGACCCGGGGAGACCAGCAGCTGTGTGTGGTCACTGCGGTCCCTTCGGGGTACAGAGAGGAGTGCTCCCCTGTGAGGCCCTGGTTTCCACAGATGTCTCTGAGCTGGGATCTTTAAACAGGCTGATCCGCCCTGCTGTGAGGTGGGGCAGAGCAGAGACAGCTACTGAGGCTGGGAACACACAGGGCAGGTGGAGGAAGGACGGCGGAAGGACGGCCACTTCCCTGCTTCGTGGCCTCCCGGAGAATGGCGGCGAACAGCTGTGTGTTGAGAACCTGCTGCTGGGCTCTGCAAGCCAAGGTCTGGCTGCGTGCTTTTTGTCAATAAAGTTTTATTGGCATATGGCCCTGCTGTTGGGCTTGTTCACATGTGGTCTTGGTGCTCTGGCAGTGTGGCCTCCACGGAGGAAGCCTGCTGGTCCCGTGTCTGGAACCTTCCTCCACGTCTGTCCTGCCATCGGCATGCTTGGAGGATGTGGGTCAGGAGTCTTGTAAAATGCTACAGAATTTATACGTGGCCGTTTTCCTGGGGTGGTTTTCAGGAGAAATGCTTCGTAGCAGGAGTGCCATGGGGTGTCCTGTCACTGTCTCGCTGCCCAGGTGACCCGAGGTGACCCTGGTACCGGACACCTCCCCTTTGTACTGAGGCTGTGGGGACCCACCCCCTCTGCCTCTCACCCAGCAGCTACTGGTGGATTCTTGCCTGAATCGCTTCATGTGGTGGTTACGTGGACGCACACGCACCCGCGTTCGTGAATGGCGCCTGCCTGCCTGTGTCTTCCAGGCCTCAGTTCTTAAGTTTTCTCTTTGTGGTTTCTTTGAGATAAAAATTACCTCTTCATTTACTGGGTGAGCTTTATGTTTCGCACAGCTCTGGACTTGCGGCCACGCTCCCCAGCCCCACGTGGCCTGCACCCCGAGTCCTCCCTGTGTCTCTTCTGCCCCAGGAGTCCACGTGGCATCTTGGCCTGTGGCAGTTTCTCCGGCTTTGCTTCCTCCTGAGGCTGTGGGCTCGGGACCTGTGAGCTCGGAGGGCCCGTGGCCGTGGGGTGGTGGGGGAGCGTGGGCCGTGTGCTGCCATGGGGCCCTTCAGTGTGCCGTTCTGGGAAGGGGCTGCCTGGTCACGGAAAAGCAGGTCTGGCGTGGGAGCACCTGGAGTCCACAGCCAGCCGTGCGGCGGGACCCCCACAGCTGCAAACCCAGCGCCAGGCCGGGCGCTGCTGGTATCTGGGATTCGGCGCATGAGCCCCGCCCCCGCAGTGCTGCCCGCCTTGGCCCCCTGCTCCCTGGGGTGCTGACCGCGCCCTGCTCTGGCTTCAACGCTCTCTGGGTCGCTGTGTCTTGCTCCGAAGGGATCTCGGGGCTCAGCTGAGTTGTGACATCGTGGCAAACGGGCATTTATAACAAACAGGTTTTAAAATGATTTCTGTAAACGGGAGGCGAGTGTTTTCCGTCCTTAGACGTGCAGGCGAGCCCGATGCGGGCTCCCTGTGGCAGGAAGTGGGAGAGGAGCTTGCCGCAGACGGTGTGGGGACGAGTCCTGTGACCTCCTCGTGCTGCGCACTGGTGGACCCCCGGCTGGCCCGACACCTTGTGTGTGCGGCTGTCCCTCCTCATGGTCCTGGCAGAGGATGCGGCGGGGCCTGGCGGGGCCTGGCTGCCCTCTGCCCAGGTTTGTGTGGGTAGAGCTGAGCCCGCCCCCAACTGCCTGTCCCAGCAGCGAGGGCGCACTCACGTGACGCTCGGATGCGCATGGTGCGCCCGCAGACTCATGCTGGTTTTAGGAGTGCTCACCCGCATCTCTGGAAAGGGCACCGCCTCCCAGGGCCCCCAGTTTTCCGGGTCTTCAGTGCAGGATTTAGTCTCAGTACTTGGGCCGTTTCCTTGATCCCTGCTTGGGGTGATGATGGTGTCCAGTTGAAACATGGTCGTTTGTGTTTTGTCCATCCTCATTTTTTTCTAAGGGTGGGAAACACAGGGCGCGGTTTCGGAAACCGAGCAGGGAGGCGCTCCCCGGACGAGCGCAGGGGGCTGAGGTCCGGAAGAGGCCGCGTGGCGCAGACCGCAGACCAGGCGGGTGAGCGACGGCTGTGGTGGTGTGGGAGGTCGGGTGCCATGGGCTGGGACCCTGAGGGTCTGGGGGCCTTGCGCAGCTGGGTGTGCCATTCAGGAGCAGGGTCTGCCTGGATTTCGGGGGCTGTTCAGCTGACTGGGGGTGAGGAGGGTTTCTTTACTGTGCCCATGGAGACCCACTATTGCCCCCCCTTGTCTCTTGAGCCGCCACTTGGGGACCTCCCCACCCCCACCCCCGAGCGGCCGGGCAGGATGGGGACCAAATCCCGGCAGATGACAGGTCTTACCAGTGACCCTTCAGGTCGGGGACCATGCAGCCCAGACGCAAGCGCAGTGCCCGCAGGTGACCCTCTTGCACCCGTGGTCCCCATGGTTATTCCTCACGGGAACCATGATGCAAGCCTCCTCGCTCACGAGGCGATTTTGGGCATTATTACGAAGTTGGACCAACAGGACCTGCTGTGAGTTCTCCCAGCGCCAGGGTCCTGGAGTCTCCTTGCTAGGAAGCCTTCCGGTGTGGCCTTGGGTCATAGGTCAGAACACCAGGTGGCCCGAGCTGGTGCTGGTGGGCTCGAGGGTCTCTGTCTCCCTAATCAGGAACGGACCCGGGAGGAGGTCGTCCACGTTCACACTGCTTGCGGCCCGTGCTGCCTTCCCTGCTGTGGCCTCCCGACTCTGGACGTCCAGGCAGGAGCCCCCCGCTTGGGGGTGGTGACTCCCTGGAGGGGACGGTGTTGGGGGGACGCGAGTGGGTGCCGGTGAGGGGGCGCGGCCCCGGGCTGCCCACCTCAGCTGACCCTGTCCGTGGCTTCTGCCTGTGGGGTGGCATCACCCTCCCTGAAAAGATGGGGCTGCGCTGGGGCTCCTGTCACCAGGGCTTGTGGCTTTTCCCTCCTCTTGGATTTGGAGCCTGGGATCGGGTGCCCGGTCTTGGGGTCTGGACTGGATTGGGACCTGAGTACTTTGTGCTCCTCTGTGACCTGGTGGCGTCACTCTTCTGCGCGGCCTCGTGTGAGCACGCTTTCCTGTCAGGAACGGTTCTGGCCAGGGCGCGGCGGGGTCTGTCGGATGTGTGTCCCGGGGTGGCGCCGCAGGGCCTGAGGGGGGCAGCTTGGGACTGGAAGTTCCCGAGTGGGCGGCCGCCTGTGGGGCGCCCTCACCTGACCCCCTGCAGATAGTGCTGCCCGTGAGCCTGGCACCGGGGGCTGGGCGCTGCGTGCTTCTCGGAGGCCGAACCCCCGAGATAGGACCCATTCTGGCTCCTGCTTTCCTCCTGACATCCCGTGGGCTTCGTTTGTGTCCACCGTAGCCCGGCGTTGAAATACGCGCAGGGCTTTATCGTGCACTGAGCCGCGTCTAAACCCCAGTGCCCGGGAGTGGGCCACGCGGGGGCAGAGGGTGTTTTCTGTTCTAACGAGCGCAGGGCGTCTTGGTCTGGAGGTGCCTGGCTAACTTCGGGCGTCTGCAGACGTGGCTGTGGCATCTGAAAGCCCGTGCTGGCCTGGAACCACCTCAGCGGGCCGCGCTGCCGGGACCGGAGCGCCTGCCCTCCCCTGCGTCCCGGGCCCTGTGCTCTTGCCCAGGATGGGGTGAAGTCGTGCTCTGTGAACACATCACACGTGAGGTTGGCGTGTTTCGTGTGCTGGGCGTGTGCGTTCTTCGTAAGGCCTGTCGGAGAAATAGGGAGAAGTGGTGGCCATCCCTGGCTTACTGGCCAAGGGCCTGGCGTGACCCCTGCCCACACGGAGGTCACCTCCTTCCTCTCCGACGTGGTCACTAGGGTGGCAGCTGTGCTGCGTCCAGGCTCTTGGTGGAGGGTTGAGGGGATGCAGAATGGTGGGGGGCCTGGGGGAGGTAACGGGCTGGGGCCGGGACCCTGGCTTCAGGGAACAAAGGTCAGAGGTCACCAGCCCCCGGGCACACCCCCACCCGCCCGCGTGTGGGCTGCTGCCCTCCTCCAGCCTCGCCTCGGCCCAGCCCCGGGGCCTTAGTGGGGGCGCCGAGGCCGCAAGGGGCAGCTCCCGCGAGGTGGACTATCTCCCTGCGGCCAGGCCGCCGTCCAGGTGCTGGGGAGCGTCTGCTGGGGGTCCTGGGTGTTGTGTTAGCCACCCCCAGTCCTGGCATCCAGCTTGGGTCCTGATGAGAGTCAGTGGGGGCTGCGCTTGACTTGGTGGGGAAGCACAGTCGGGGGTGGGGGTCCTGCCTGTCGGTGTGGGGGGGGCTGGGGTCCTCCCTGCCGAGGGGGGGTGGTGGTGCAAGGGCCGGAACGTGCCAGACCTGGGCCTGGCGCACAGGGTGGTGTAACTTCCCTGTGTGGGGGTCTGGTATCGGGGGTACACTAGGGTCTGACTTGCTGGCCTGGACCCCGGGTCGGCAGGGATGGGGCCCTGGACCCCTCTGCATTCGCGGGGGCCGCTCCGCCCTGCACCTGGCCTCCGCTTGCCCTGGGCATGGCAGCCCTTCCCGTCCTGCCCACCAGCTCCACCTGTTACCTGCCCCCACTCTGTGTTCCTGAGTCTTGTCGCATAGGTGGGGAAACTGAGGCGGGGAGGGCTGGGCTGCTTAGGCACAAACAGCTATCCCAGCAGCCAGGGCTACGACCTTGAGGAGTGTTGCTGGCGGGGTTCCCAGGCACAGGGTGATGTCTGCAGGTGACATGCATGTCTGTGTTCTTAGAGCCCAGCGGCCTCCCCCGCTGCCCCGCGCCTGGCTGGGCGGAGCCAAGGGTCCTGGTGTTCCACAGGGTTCCCCCCAGGCCCCGGGGGATGCGTGGGCCTCCAGGGGCACCGGTCCTGTTCAAGCCACTTCTAAGACTCACCTGAGCGGGTTCCCCTCCAGGAGATGGAAACCCGCGAGAGAACAGCCCGTTCATCAACCACACGGAGGTGGAGCAGGAGAGCTTTGAAGGGAAGAACATGGCGCTTTTTGAGGTGACTCACACTTCCTCCTACAAGACGCACGAGGGCCGGGACTTCAACGGACACGGCATGGGGGCTGTGGCCCCAAGACCTGGGGGTTGGGTGGAGGGCTGCCTGCCTGACTGTACGCCGTGCACAGGGGGAGCCTCCTTGGCCGCCACCTTCTTGGGAGGGGCCATCTGGGAAACCCTGGACCCCTACTGGGTGGCCGGGAGCCCCGAGCTCTGCCCCGACCCCTGACTTGGGACCTGGTGTGCATGTGTCGGGTGATGTGGGCCCATCTCAGCCCCGTGGACCTCGGATCTGGAGCTAGAAACGCTGGGAGCTCCGTGGGGTATTGCTCCAGTGGGTTTGGGGATCCAGGTGACTAACCATGTCTTGGCCCCAAACAGGAGGAAATGGACAGCAACCCCATGGTGTCCTCACTGCTCAACAAGCTGGCGAACTACACCAACCTGAGCCAGGGTGTGGTGGAGCACGAAGAGCACGAGGACGACAGCAAGAGGCGTGAGGTCAAGGTGCGCCCATCCCCGCCGTCCAGTCCTCGTCCCTGTCCCCCCAGTCCCCCGTCCCCATCCCCCTACCGTCCCCCTCCCTGGGGCATTCCCCAAGTCCCAGTTAAACATGACCCCTTTCCTTTCTCCTGCACATGGCTCAGTTAAGGGTGGGAACTGGCCTTCTCTGCCTTGAGTAGGACGAAGGCAGCATGGGGAGTGCCTGGCCCCGCGAGGGGGTCGGCGTTCCTGCGGGGTTCCTGCCAGCTGGGTGTGGGGGTGTGGAAGCCGGTGGAAGGCCTGGGTTTCCTGACGGCTGCCCCTTCCCTCTCTGTGTCCACCCTGCTTGGCACCAGCCACGCGGCCGGGGTGCCAGGCCCCCTGCGTGCACGGAGGCCTGCCTGCTGCCTGAGCACCTGTGTGCAGCCTGACCTCGGCTGTCAGGAAGTCTGGCCACAGAGGGGGCTTGGTGCGGGAAATGCAGCAGGATAGGTCCTGCTTTTCCTTGACACTCAGGGTGTTTGTCGTGCGTTCTGCGCGGAGTGGTAGACGTGGGGTGTGAGGGCTTCCTGGCCCAGCCTTGCCCTGGCTGCCCTCCTGGGGCAGAGGACAGTGGGGACAGCGGTCCCCGGTGACACCGTGTGGGAAGGTGACAGTTGTGTATGCTGTGGGAGTGGGCGCCACAGGCCTTTCTGTGCGACCGGCACAGGACTGTCCGTCTTTCTGTCCACTGGAGCTTGTCCCAAGGTGCCGTCTGTTGGCAGTAGGACCGGGCTTTCCTGTGGTTGGCCCGGCTCGTTGCCTCGTGGAGCCCACTGTGGCCCCTGCTGGCCCCCCGCTGGCCCCCGCTGGCCCTCACTGTCCCCCCGCTGGCCCCCACTGGCGCCCCGCTGGCCCCCGTTGTCCCCCTGCTGGCCCCCCGCTGGCCCCTCGCTGGCCTCTGCTCTCCCCCTGCTGGCCCCCGCTGGTGCCCCGCTGGCCCCCATTGTCCCCCTGCTGGCCCCCCGCTGTCCCCTCTCTGTCCCCACGCTGTCCCTTGCTGTCCCCCCGCTGGCCCCCGTTGTCCCCCTGCTGGCCCCCCGCTGGCCCCTGCTGTCCCCTCTGTCCCCCCGCTGTCCCCTCCTGTCCTCCGCTCCCCTGCTGTTCCTCGCTGGCCCCCGCTGGCCCCTGCTGGCCCCCGTTGTCCCCCCGCTGTACCCTCGCTGTCCCCCCCTGACCCCCCCACTGTCCCTCGCTGGCCCCCGCTGTCCGGCGCAGCCCAGCACGTCCTTCCCTGTGACCCATGGCCAGATCAGGACTTGGGAGGTCCTGTCCCTGAGGTAGGGGCGCTGCCTGGCCTCTGTCCCCTGCCATCGCAGGAGCGATCCAGCACAGCTGTCCTGTAGACAGGTGGACGGGTTCTGGTTGGGATGAATCATCCGCCCCACTGGGGACTGACTAGGTCCTCGGGGTGTGGGGACTGCCCTTACTGTCCACTGTCCCCCCGGGTACAGGAGGGTGTGTCCAGAGACCCAGCCCCCCTGCAGGGCGCCATTTCCAGGGCTCTGGACCTCACGTGCAGCTGGGCTGATCGTCAAAGCTGCCTTTAGGAGAGAGTGGGAGGCCCGTCCTGCCCTTCCTGGGTGACTCGGGGTCTGCCTGGCCACTGCCGGCAGGACATCAGTGGACACCCTGCAGCAGCTGGGGCTGGCTGCCTGACGCGTTAATCGAACCATGAACGAGAAGCCGTGCCCTGCCTGGCACCACTGTCCCCTTTCACACAACGGGGAAGTCCCTGGGGTGCTCTCCGCCGGCCCTGTGACCACTCCGGGGGCCCTGTGGGTGGGCAGTGTGTGGGCTGGGGGCGCCACACAGGCCCCGCGTTAAAAGGGAGCCGAGTGTCCCAGGCGTCCAGACCCAGGGACCCCCTGTGCCTCAGAGTCTTTTCCTGGGAATCCCACGGGGCCCTGTGGCCCTGACCCGTCCCGGCTCATGGGGACAGGCGTTCCTGGGTGCACGCCAGTCCTTGGACCCTGAGAGGCCCCCTGCCTCCCTGAATGTGGGTGCAGGTCAGCAGAGCCGCCGCCTGGGCCCTTGACCTCCCGGGCCCTTGTCTGCAGCCCCTCTACTCGCAGCAAATGTTTCTAAAGCAAATCTTCCCCAATTGTGTGGATTCTTTTATTCACCTGAGTTTGAGATACTTTCCCGTTGAGCATTGTTTTCAGTCAGTCTCGAGATCTCGAGTGTGCCCCTGACCACGGTGTCAGGCCAGCTGTGGGACAGGATGGGCTGGGACCCCAGTGGGGTCTGCCCTCTGTGCTGGCTTCTGGCCTGGTTGCCGGCCGCCTGCCCGCCCGGCTGGTGTGCTGAGCCCTGGTGGCCTCCAGGATTTCAGAGGACACCCCGTCAGGCACCTCCCAGCTCTGCGTCCTCGGTCACCCCGGAGATTGCCCCCCCGGGCTCATGCGGCCGCGTGTCCCATCGGAACTTTCTGGCGGGTTTGATTGAGGCACTGCTGATTTTACGGGACTTGGCTTTGCGGGGACTTCGGCGTGGTTAGGGGGCAGCCGCCCATCTCCCGCCTGGGCCTTCGGAACCCCCCTGCCCCCCGCCCGCTGGACAGGGCCTGGCTCGTCCTGCTCTCAGCTTCGCCGACGTTGCCGTGGCTGTCCTCGTGGCGCCTCCCTGCTCCCTGGCAGCAACGTGGTCTCAGGTCCTCCCGAGCCCGCCCTCTTGAGGATTCCTCCCAAAGCCTCCCTTCCAGGGGTGGCCTGGCTTCCCCCAGCCGTGCAGCCTGTGCAGCCTCCCTTCAGCGTCCGCTGTGCACGGGCGCCTGCTGTGGCTGGCCCCCCTGGAACCACTGTGCTCTCTTTCAGAGCCCGCGCATGGGAACCTTCATTGGTGTCTACCTGCCCTGCCTCCAGAACATCCTCGGGGTGATCCTCTTCCTGCGGCTGACGTGGATCGTGGGGGCGGCCGGCGTGCTGGAGTCCTTCCTCATCGTGTTCATGTGCTGCACCTGCGTGAGTGGTGGAGGGCCCTGTGCTGAGGCCCCGGGGTCCGCCCAGGGTAGCCTCCACGGGCACTGGTGCCTGCGGGGGGAAATCAGGGCCAGCCGGACTCCGTCCCTGCGTCTGGGGGAGGACGTGGCCGGGGGCTTCTGAGGGCACGGTCAGCATGCGTGAGGGCCCACGTTTGACACGGTCCCTTCCAGTTCGGAAGCTCCTGGGCTCCCTGTTTGAAGGAAGGGCCCACGCCAGTGACTTGTTCCGCCCCGACCCCGGCTCCCCACCCCTGCGTGTGCCCAGGCGTCTGCGTCCGGTGGCGCTCAGTGTTCCCACTGCTCCTGGGTCGGCCGTGGGCCCTGCACGTCCTGGGCACCTGCTGTGGCAGCCTCAGGCTCGCCTGCCCCCCCACTTGTCCTGGAGACCGGAACTCGGCTCCTCTTATCCCCCAGGTGTGAGCGCTCCGACCCCAAGAATTCAGACAACACAGACTGTGCCCCCTGCAGCCTCACGGGCTGTGGCCTCACCTTCTAAACTGTCCCGTCCTTCCTCCTGTGACGTTTTTTTCCTGGGGAAATCTGGACGGATCTAGAGTAGTCGCCATAAAACCAAATAAAAATCGGGATAAGGACCAGGGTTTTTTTTAAGTGGGACCTTAAGCCAAAGCTGCGCCTGGTGGGATCACGGTGACCATTGAGACCCTAAGCTCTCCCGAGGCTGTTCCTTCTGGTCCTTCGGTTGCAGGCTGCCCCCCAGCCTGTGGTGTGGTCACTTCTGAGCCGTGCTGGGCACTGGAGGCAGACCCACCCGGGACAGCTCTGGAGGTCCTGCATCCAACCCCCAGGGCGGGCACCCAGATGGGGTCCCCCTTGTACCCCATGGGCGGGCGGGCACCCAGACAGGGTCCCTCTTGCACCCCATGGTGGGGCAGACACCCAGATGGGGTCCTCTACACCCCAAGGGTGGGCGGGCACCAGGATGGGGTCCCCCTTGCACCCCACGGCGGGCATCCAGACGGGGTCCCCCTTGCACCCCACGGCGGGCGGGCACCCAGGCAGGAGCTGGCCTTTCATTCCAGGTGGGGTCCTGAGTTGGGTATTTCTGAGTGGCCTGCAGGAGCTCAGCTTGGAGCATTGAGTGGGAGATCGGGGGCAGCCCTGAGCATCCTGGAGCCCGCGTGCCTGACTGCTCCGCAGCCCCTCTGAGATGGGGCTGGGTATGGCCCCCGAGGCGCCTTCTCTTCTGAGAGGATCATCTGTGTTTTTGCAGACGATGCTGACGGCCATCTCCATGAGTGCCATTGCCACCAATGGTGTGGTCCCAGGTAAGGGTCCTGGGGCAGGCTGTGTGGGGTCCCAAGCTGAGCCCTGCTGAGCACCCCACCCAGGGCAGCCTCCGCCGAGACGGGCAGCACTCTGCCCCTCAGGGCCTCAGTGTGCATGTGCCCTTCCCTGCTTGGCGGCCAGCCTGGAGGACGGAGACCTCCACATCTGGTGGGCAGGCGGGCGGGCAGACGGGGGCGAGCTCTGCACAGCCAGGCTCTCCCGGAAGCCATCAGCAGGGACCCCGCCTCCAGGCAGAGGTGCTCACGGGCTCCCGGCTCTCAACGGTGCACCGAGAGCTGGTGCCTGGTGTCCTGGGCGGTGTCTTGTGTCCCCTGAGGGCACCATGGGCTGTCCTGAAACCAGGTTGTCACCAGCGCCTGATCCTGCGCTCAAGGTGCTGTGACGTTGGGGTTCTGCTCCTTGTGGGAACCTACGTGAACACTTCCCTAACTTCCTTAGGAAATTTCGCCTTTGATCTGTGGTTGGAGACCCTGCCATTTTAGGAGCCGCTTCCTGCTTTTGGTTCTGGAGTTAATTTCTCCCAGACCCTCATTATCTAGAAATAAACCGAAGCGCCAGGGTGGGCAGTGCCTGCCACGGGCGCTGTGTGGCCGGGGTGGAGGTCTGGAGAGCGGAGGGGCTGTGGGGGCTCTGGGGATGGCCCTCGGTCTGGGGGGGGCTCGGCTGGGTGGGCAGGGGCCTCAGGTGAGGAGGACCGGGAGGGACGCTGTGCTGCGTCTCCAGGTCCCAGGGAGGCCACCTGTCCCCGGAGGCTCCGTGCCCCAGCACGTGGCAGTAGTGTGGACGTGTGCATCCACAGTGATGTGTCCTCGTCCACCAGCCGGGTCCGGGGACGGTGCTCCAGCAGCCACAGGCATCCTCAGCCTTTTTGGGGCGAAGTGCACAGAATCGCAGTGTTGGGTCCAGCATTGGCCTCACAGTAAACGGTGCGATGCTGACCTGCAGCTTCTCTGTCCCATTGGCAGCTGGTGGCTCGTACTACATGATATCGCGGTCTCTGGGGCCTGAGTTCGGGGGCGCCGTTGGCCTCTGCTTCTACCTGGGCACGACATTCGCCGGGGCCATGTATATTCTGGGGACCATTGAGATTTTTTTGGTAAGTGCCTTGTTTTGGGCTGGTTTTCTAGACCCCAAGGAGTCCCTCCCAAGGCACACGGGCCCCCTCAGCCAGCCCCCTCACTCTTGACGCCTGCCTTGGGCTCTCGGGCTGCGCCGTGGCTGGCAACTGTGGCCGTGCGGCAGTGACCTGTGGGTCCGTCCGTGGCTATGTCCCACTCTCGGTGCTGGCCCGTGGCTGGCGACCCTGCCTGTGCAGCAATGACCCAGGGGGTCCGTCCGTGGCTGCGTCCGTCCATGGCTGTGTCCCCCTCTCGGTGTTGGGCCGTGGCTGGCGACTGGCTGTGCAGCAGTGACCTGGGGTCTGTCCGTGGCTGCGTCCCCCTCTCCATGCTGGGCCGTGGCTGGCGACCGTGGCCATGCAGCAGTCAGTCGGGGGGTCCGTCCATGGCTGCATCCCCCTCGCGGTGCTGGCCTGTGGCTGGTGACCCTGCCCGTGCGACAGTGACCCGGGGGTTCCATCCATGGCTGTGTCCCCCTCTCAGTGTTGGGGCTGTGGCTGGCAACTGTGGCCGTGTGGCAGTGACCTGGGGTCCATCCGTGGCTGCGTCCCCCTCTTCGTGCTGGGCCGTGGCTGGCAACCGTGGCCATGCAGCAGTCAGTCGGGGGGTCCATCCATGGCTGCATCCCCCTCGCGGTGCTGGCCTGTGGCTGGCGACCCTGCCCGTGCAGCAGTGACCCAGGGGGTCCGTCCGTGGCCGCGTCCGTCTGTGGCTGCGTCCCCCTCTCAGTGCTGGGCTGTGGCTGGCGACCATGGCCGTGCAGCAGTCACCCGGGGGTCCGTCTGTGGCTGCGTCCCCCTCGCGGTGCTGGCCTGTGGCTGGCGACCCTGCCCGTGCAGCAGTGACCCGGGGGTTCTGTCCATGGCTGTGTCCCCCTCTCGGTGTTGGGCTGTGGCTGGCGACTGTGGCCATGCAGCAGTGACCCGGGGTCCATCCGTGGCTGCGTCCCCCTCTCGGTGTGGGGCCGTGGCTGGCGACTGTGGCCGTGTGGCAGTAACCCGGGGTCCGTCCGTGGTTATGTCCCACTCTCGGTGCTGGCCCGTGGCTGGTGACCGTGGCCATGCAGCAGTGACCCGGGGGTCCGTCTGTGGCTGTGTCCCCCTCTTGGTGCTGGGGCCATGGCTGGCGACCGTGGCCGTGCGGCAGTGACCCCTGTGCCCTCGGCTGCCCTTGGACTCCACCGCCAGGGTTCTTGCCAGGTCAACGTCCGCGTGTGTGACGGGCTGCAGACCTGAGCCCGGGGTCAGCCGCGCGGCCGTGGCCTTCAGGGCCTCAGCTGTTGGCGGAGGCAGGGCCGCCCAGGAATTGGTCCGTCCTGTCGTCCCCACTCAGTTTATGTTGCGCGTGCTCACTAGGCCTCCCCCAGAAACATTCTCACTCCCGGATGGTCAGGGCGCGGTGGCCCCCGGCCTGCAGGCTGAGCTGGGGGTGCCGTCCACAGGCCGGCTTCCACGACACTGACCCCGGGGCAGTGTCTCTCTGCAGTCTTCCCTCTCTGCTCTCATTCTTGGCACCCCGGGGGCCCACCGTGAATGCGTTCTGGCGGTGGGGGCCCCCAGCAGGGGGAGGAGCCCAGCACCAGGCCCTGCAGACAAAGATGCCCCCCTGTGGGGCCACCTTCCAGGCAGGGGTGCTTGACGGCCCTTCCTGACCCCGTCCGTCCCCCGCAGACCTACATCTCCCCCAGTGCGGCCATCATCCAGGCAGACACGGCGGAAGGCGAGGCCGCGGCCATGTTGCACAACATGCGCGTGTACGGGACGTGCACGTTGGTGCTCATGGCCATGGTGGTCTTCGTGGGCGTCAAGTATGTCAACAAGCTGGCCCTGGTGTTCCTGGCCTGTGTGGTGCTGTCCATCCTTGCCATCTATGCCGGTGTTATCAAGACCGCCTTCGACCCACCGGACATCCCGTGAGTCCTGGGCCTGAGAGCCGGCCCATCCTGCAAACCTTGTCTGTGCCCGTGACCACGTACGTGGTCGGGCCGGGGTGGTGGTTCCGTGGGACGCAGATGCCCGTGCTCACGCCGGGCTTGGGGATGAGCCATCAGGGTGCTCGTGCGGCCGCGCCATCTGCACAAGTGGGATGGGTCCGCTGAAGGTCCGGGGTGGACAGGGTGCTGCTGGCCCCGAGGACGGCAGCACTGAGCTCCTCCTGGGGTGGCCCGACCTCCGTGCGCCCCGTGCCCTGGCTCCCCAGCTCCCCTAGTCCTTGCAGGAGCACCCCCGCCCGGCCCCAGTGGGTTTCTTTCTTGTCCCTCTTACGCACGTGGATGCCCAGTCCCAGGGAAGTGGCCCGAGGTCACAGCGAGTGAGCGAGCTGCCCGTGGCCCGTCGGGCTGGTCCAGGAGGGGCCCGGCGGGCTGGGAGGCCACTGGCATGAGCAGCAGCCATCCCTTGCAGCCCGCGGGGCGTTCCCGTCGCCCAGAGTGGGGTGTCCGAAGCAGAGCAGTAGGAGGTGCTTCACAAGGGCCGCACGTGCCCTCACGCCCGACCCCCGCGCTAGGGTCTGTCTGCTGGGAAATCGCACCCTGTCCAGACGTGGCTTCGACGTCTGTGCCAAGTTCCTCGCTGCCGACAACAGCACGATGCCCACCGCGCTCTGGGGCATTTTCTGCAACAGCTCCATGCCCAACGCCACCTGTGACGAGTACTTCGCCCAGAACAACGTCACGGAGATCCAGGGCATCCCCGGCGTGGCCAGCGGCGTCCTCCTGGGTGAGCACCCCAGGGCCATGTGGGACCGCGCCAGCCCTCCCCCTCTGCTCTCATTCTTGGCACCCCCGGGGCCCACCGTGAATGCGTTCTGGTGGTGGGGGCCCCCAGCAGGGGAGGGAGCCCAGCACCAGGCCCTGTAGACAAAGGTGCCCCCCTGTGGGCACCTTGCCCCTGGAGCTGCAGCCGTGGTCAGCACCAGGTGGCAAAGCCTGCAGGTCAGTAGACCCTTCCTTTTGGGGTTTGCTGCTGGGCGCACACGGGGTCGTGGTCGGGGGCGACAGGGCTGGTCCGGCTGGTTCTGGGAGGAGAGGTTGCACGTCCTTGTGTGAAGTTGGAGCCCATCCACCCCCGCCGCCTCTGCCAGGCCTTCCTGATGGCAGGAGCCCGGCAGAAGGTTCTGGAACCTGTTACTGGCCTGTTGCCCCCGCAGATAACCTGTGGAGCGCGTATGCAGACAAGGGGGCGTTTGTGGAGAGGAAGAGCACGCCGTCGGTCCCTGTGCCAGAGGAGAGCAGGGCCAACGGCCTGCCCTACGTCCTCACGGACATCATGACCTACTTCACCATGCTGGTCGGGATCTACTTCCCCTCCGTGACCGGTGAGGCCCTGCCCTGTACCTCAGTGTGCACACCTGCCCCAGCCCCCCAGGAAACGAGCGGCAGGGTCTCTGCTGCCCCCCGCGTGCTGATCGGGGTGTGGGAAGGAGCTTTGTCCCAAGCACTGCCGACTGACCAGCAGCACTTGAGGTCACTGACCGTGGAGGCTGTGCGTGGACCCGAGGGCCGTCCTCCCACGACCTTCATCTGACTTTCTGGGACGACCCTCGGCGCACCAGTGCCTCATCCCCTGCCAGGACACCCCTCAGCGGCCCGGTGCGCAGCGGGAGCTAGCAGCCGTCGGCACGTCCGGCCCTTGCCCGGGCCCTCGACCGCCGCTCGGGCTTCCCCTCCACCAGCTGGAGCCCCACAGTTTGCAGGCGGGCACGGGTTCCGGGCGCTTCTCTTTAGTCCCACGCCCCCCCCGTGAGTCGTGGCCAAGGGCGTGGCCGGCGGCGTGTTCTGGGTCTGTGGTAACTGGGGGCTCTTCCGGCGGCTCCTGTAGGTATCATGGCGGGCTCGAACCGGTCCGGGGACCTCAGGGATGCCCAGAAGTCAATCCCCACAGGGACCATTTTGGCCATCGTGACGACGTCTTTCATCTGTATCCTCAAAGGGGCCGAGGTGAGGGAGGCCCCGATGCTCTGGCCGCCGCCGCCCCACGGGGAGCCGGGCTGGCGTCTGCCTGACGAGGGAGAAGGAGGGACTCCAGGTTGCCGAGCTCACGCCGGCTGCAGTCCGAGCCACTGTCGGTAAACTGCGTGGGGCACCTACGTCGTCACACGTGACAGGCGGGGGTGGCCCATAACTGCGGGTGCGGGGCCTGGTGCTGTGCACAGCGTCCTCGTGCTGGTTGCCGAGGTCTGTCCTTGCCGAGTGAGCCAGCGTCCCCTGCCCAGTGCCCGTGGTGGTGGGCGGGCTGTGTGCAGCCTGACTCAACTGGAAGCAGGATGGAGCCGCGAGGAAGGCGCCCTGAGGGCCGTGGGGTCACGGGGTGGTGGGGAGCGGGCAGCCGGGGCGCGGGGCTGGTTCATGCCCACCCGCCACCAGACCCTGCCGATGACGTTTGGCCCGTCGCTTCCTTGACGCAAGACACAGACCTGTCCTGCATCGTGCTCTTCGGGGCCTGCATCGAAGGCGTGATCTTACGAGATAAGTACGTTGGTTTTTGTTTGTGGCTTCTAGAAGCTTTCTGGTCAGCATCGGTTTTCTTGTGGATGGTGGTTGACCTGGGGACCTCCCCCAGGGTTTCAGCCTTCGCGTGGGGAGCCGGGAGCCCCGTGGCCCCCCTGGGGGTTTCTGCTCGGTCTGGTATGTGGTCCTGTCCTGCTCCAGCCTGGAGCTGGGGAACTGCCGAGCAGCCTCCCGCCCGAGAGAGCGTGAGGGGTTCTGTGTGGTTCCGGACAGCGCGGCCATGCCGAGCCACTTCTCAGGAGTGACCGTGGTTTCCCTGCGCCTGAGAAAGGACACTTAGGGTGGGAGTGGCCTCGCTCCGGCTCAGAGCGTGGGAAGACGTTCATGTCTTCAGCTTGTGTTTGAAAGCCCGCCCACCCGACCCACAGGTTTGGGGAGGCCCTGCAGGGGAAGCTGGTCATCGGCATGCTGGCCTGGCCGTCCCCCTGGGTCATCGTCATCGGCTCCTTTTTCTCGACCTGTGGTGCTGGCTTGCAGAGCCTCACAGGGGCACCACGCCTGCTGCAGGCCATCGCCCGAGACGGCATCATCCCCTTCCTACAGGTGAGCGGGTGGCCGCCCTTCTGAGAGCAGGGGGCCCCGCGGGAAGGGGTGTGTCTGCGAGGGTCCCTGAGGGTCTGCCCCCGGAGCATGGTCTTCACGGTTACGGACTGTGGGACCCAGGTCCCCACCACCAGCCTGGCAGCCTCGCCCTGGGTGGTCACGGGGCTGAGGGCGCAGTGCATGTCGGGGACGGGGGGTGGCCCCTCACCGCCCTGGGCTGTGGGAACATTGAGAGGAGCAACCCGGGGAGCCTCCATTTCCTCAGGGCCGGTGTCTCTCCTGCTGGGTGCAGCGTCCTCCCTGCACCACACGCCATAGGCTGGGGGCTCAGACAACACACGGGGATTTGCTCACATCCCTGGGATGTGAGCGGAAAAGTCCCAGACCGGGGGGGGGGGGGGGGGGGCGCTCCAAAGCTAGTTTGTCCTTGGTGTGTCACCACCTTCCCACCTTCCCCGAGTCCCCACGTGGCTTCCCTGTGCTTTTGTTCGTCTTTCTCACAAGGACACCGGTCACTTAGATTAGGACCGCCTGTAAAGCTCACATCTGCAAACATGGTCGAGTCGCCTTTTGAGGGGCTGGGGCCAGGGCTTCACTCTGGGGCTCGGGGGCACACGGGGCCCCTTCGTGTGTGTTCATCATCTGGGTGGGGGCTGGTCCTCCCCCCTTCAGAGCACAGTCCTCACCTTCACTCCCTGGAAGGTTCTGGCAGACTTCACAGCTCCGTCTGTTGGCTCGGTGCAGACTGGGTTCTGCTCTGGGGGTGTTGCTGTGTCCCTGGTGCCCCCTCCCCGAGTCTGTTTCTGGTGTCATTCCGCATGTCTGTGGCATGCCCTGCATGTCTGTTCCCAGAGCCCCTGGGCAGCAGGGACTGTGCTAGAAAAGCATTGGAAGCTGGGGTCCCTGGAGGCAGCTGTGGTCTCCATGTGGTCCTTCCCCGTGTGGCAGTGGGTGAAGGGTCCTCACGGTTCTCCATGCGTGTGTGCCGCGGGGACCCTGCGCCTGCCCCCACGAGGCCGGTCTCAGGATGCCCCGGAGGCCCCCATCCGTCCTGCGCATGGAGGGGTCACCTTCACCCTCGCTGACGCCGCTGTGAGGCCCAGGCCTGACGGTACCTCGGCCACCGTCTGCCTTCTCGGTTCTGGGTGTCAGCTTTTCCTCCCAGAGCCGGGGAGGGTTCAGGACAGGTTGTGAAAGTCCGCTTCTGCCTCTGTCCCGTCCCTGAGCCCTTCTGGGCTGCCCCTGGGAAGCTGGGCTTCTCACTGGGACACGGGCTTTTGTCCTGTGGCCTCTGCCCCCCACGCTCGCAGCCCACCTGCCCTCTCCCTGCAGGTGTTCGGCCATGGGAAGGCCAACGGGGAGCCCACGTGGGCCCTGCTCCTCACGGCCCTCATCTGTGAGACCGGCATCCTGATCGCCTCCCTGGACAACGTGGCCCCCATCCTGTCCATGTGAGTGACTGCAGGCCCGGTAGGAGGGGTGTGGGGACAGGCCACGGAGATGGGGCTGCTGCTTGTGGACAAGGAGGCGTGTGTGACCCCGCTCTGGGGCTGGCCTTCTGCTCAGGGGTCCCCAGACACGCAGTCACGCAGGCCAGGTGGTCCTCGTGGAATGGTGCCGTGGAAGGGAGGGGAGACGGGAGGGGCAGTGCTGTAGTGGGGGGGTGGGGAGACCACGTGGGACCTGACCCCCGGCTCCTCTGGCCCTGTCCTTACGCCCCCAGGTTTTTCCTCATGTGCTACATGTTCGTGAACCTGGCCTGTGCAGTGCAGACCCTGCTGCGCACGCCCAACTGGCGGCCACGTTTCCGATACTACCACTGGTGAGCACTCCCACCGCCGGGACGGCCCCGGGTCCCTCGTGCCCCTGCACCGAGCCGGGCAGGCCCGTGCCCGTGTGCGTCCCCCGGGCCACCCGGTCCCTGCCGGGGGGATGGCCTCCGTGTGTGACCGCGGGCCACGTGGTCTCCTGCTGCTGGTGTGTGTGCCGGACGGGCGAGGCCCGTTGTGCCGTGTGGCCCGCGGGGTGCTTGAGCGCCCTGGCAAGTGGGTGGGTGTCCCGCGTCCATGGGCGCGGAGCCACGGCGGGCTCAGCCCTCGAGGGTTCAGCGTCCGGGGCGGGGGGGATTTGGTCACAGGCATCATGGCTGCTTCCTTGCTGTAGCTGAGAAGGGTCTTTGTTAAGGGGCCGGGAGGGTTTCCGGGGTTCCAGGCGTGGCAGGCGTGTGAGGTGCGTGTTTCTCCAGGGCGCTCTCCTTCCTGGGCATGAGCCTGTGCCTGGCGCTCATGTTCATCTGCTCCTGGTACTATGCTCTCTTCGCCATGCTCATCGCCGGCTGCATCTACAAGTACATCGAGTACCGCGGGTGAGCTGCTCTGCGCGAGTTCGCGGGCCGATGTTCCCTGCAGGGGTGTCTCCGTGGGGTCTGCATAGCCCGGTGCAGGGGTGGGGGGTGCTCGCGGTGTGAGTCGGGCCCCCAAGCCGGGTGGGCCCTGCTGTCCGGGCCTGCACACCTGCGGCACGGCGGGTGCAGAGCTGTGTTTGCTACTTTGTATGGATTCCACGCTTGTGTCGCTTTTTTTACTATGTGCTTTTTGAGAACTTTGAAGTCCATACAGTGAAAGCAGTGATGTGTAAAGTGTGCAGCGTCCCAGAGCGCATCCCAGAGCACCTGGTCCGTCCCTGGGGCCTGGCTCCCTCCGGGGGTAGGGTCTGAGGGGTCCCGGCCGCTGCCTGGAGGCCCCCTCCAGCTCTTCCCAGCTGGTGAACAAGGAGCATCGGGCGTGTGACCACTCCTGGTGAAGCCAGGCCCACCAAGCCTGCTGTGCTCATCAGTGTCCCCGACTCCAGGGTCCCACCCTGTCCTGTCGCAGAAACCCCAGGCTGGCTTCTCAGGGAGGCTGCCCCTGGAGGCCTGTGGTCCAGAGAAGCTTCAGGGCCCTGGCCCTAGAGTCCCCTCCTGGGTTCCTTACCGCTGCCCCTTTCTTGCAGGGCTGAGAAGGAGTGGGGTGATGGCATCCGGGGTCTGTCGCTAAACGCAGCCCGCTATGCCCTGCTGCGTGTGGAGCATGGCCCCCCCCACACCAAGAACTGGAGGTGAGCGCCCCAGCCCACCCCGACCTGGCCTCACGCACTTTGAATGCAGAGCGCCATCTCTACCCTCACACTTGAGGGATGGTCCCTCTTTTTGGGGAGCGATTGTCTCGGAAGCTTCTAGCATCTTCTCTCAGTGCACGGTGGTCGGCCGTGGCGTGATCAGCCTGGTGGGTGGGGCATGGGGTGAGTGGACCTCCCTGGGGTCCTGCCGAGGATGGAGGTTAAGTGCATGGACCGCCAGCCTCACGTCACCCGCTTCTGGGAGGTCAGGGATGTCCTCTGTGCTGAGAGCTCCGGCCTCCGTCCCTTAGACGCCCAGGGCTGTAGCCCCGGGCAGGCTCGCCTGGTGAGCGCGGTCTGTGCTGCAGGCCCCAGGTGCTGGTGATGCTGAGCCTGGATGAGGAGCAGCGTGTGAGACACCCCCGCCTGCTGTCCCTCACGACTCAGCTCAAGGCCGGCAAGGGCCTGACCATCGTGGGCTCTGTGCTGGAGGGCACCTACCTGGACAAGCACGTGGAGGCCCAGCGGGCCGAGGAGGTGGGCGGGCACGGGCCGGGTCCGCGGGATGGTGGCGGGCGGCGGGTGGCGGCGGGACAGAGGTCCAAGCAGGGAGCGCAGGCGGGGTGGGGACGGCTGGCGGCTGAAGCGGTCGAGGGGCAGGCCCGCCGCTGCCGCCTGCCTTGCGCGGGAGGGTCAGACCAGCACGTTTTCCATCGCTGCCGTCTGCGAGCATGGTTTTGTATGTTGCGCTGTTGCCTTGTTTCGTAGTAGAGCCTGGTTTCTGGGTTCGGTTGGGTCAGAACTGAGGCTGCTGAAGGCACCCGGGGGCGGGGGGCTGAGACCTCTCAGAGAGCGTGTGGGTTAGAGGCTGGTTCCAAGGGCCGCTCGGTGCCGCCCTTGGAGATGTCCCCCTGGCGCCCTCCATGGCTCGGCCTGGGCTCCGTCCCCTGCACGCTCGCTGTCTCGCATGGCGGCCTCAGGCCCATGTGTCCAGGGGCTCTGGCTGGAGGAGACGCTGACCTCGGCCTGTGCAGGTCATTTCAGGCACACGTGGAAGCGGCTGGTGTCGTGAACGCCCGGGGGCTTCCAGGCAGACCCGCCGGGTCTTGTGCTTTTGTCTCCGACGGTCTGTGTCCATGTCCGAAGTGGGAGGCACGTCAGCGCTGGTTTCTGGGGGCAGCCTCCCTGCTTCCCCGCGTCGGTCTTCCCTTTCTCACCCCTGCAGGTGGCGCGGCTCGGTCCCTTGCTCCAGGGTGGGTCCTTCTCACTCTCAGGCAGTCAGGCAGGTGGGGGAGGGATGGCTGTGTCCCCGTGTCTAGGAGCGCTGCGGCTGGCGTCCAAGCCGGGCCGCGCCCAGAGGCTCATTCGCATTCAGACCAGGGGTTGCAGGTGCTGGATCCGACCCTCCCGCCGCCTCCCTCAGCTGGATAGGCCAGCTCCGTGCCGTCGGCGGTTCGCGGGTTCCTCACTCAGGGAAGGCAGCAGATGCGCTGGGTGCTGTCTTCCTCCCGGAGGCACCAGTGGTTCTTTTTCGGCAGGACCGTGAGCCCGCGGGCTCCAGCGTGGCGGTTGCTGGCCACAGTATGTGGATTTAGGCAGTGTCGTCCTTGCACTACGCACACTGTCCCGTCTTTGGGCGGGACTGCCTCCCGCGGGCGCTAACACGCTCGGCCCAGACCCACCGCGTGGCGGGAGAGGCCCTGGCGTTCAGTTCTGACCTTGCACAAGTGCCACGTGGGCGCCAGCTCCAGCTCTCCCTGCGCGGGGGCTTCTCCGGGGGCCGCAGGGGAGGCGGGCGCCCTGCTGCGTGGAAGGCAGCAGTCCGCAGCCACGGCCCGGACGGTTGTGGCATGGCCGGATCCCCCATCCCTGCCCCCTTGCCGCCGGGGGCTGTTGTCATCTGATACGCGCGGTCCCGGACTTCCCTAGTTTCGTTAACACCCCAGTCCTGCAGAAGGTGTTCCACGCGCTCTTGTTACTGTAAAGAGGCGGTTTTCCGTTCTCGGGCAGCGTGTGTCTGCGTCAGCTCGGCGGTCCGTGTCGTGTGTGTGTTCAGGTTTCTGTTCCTCGCCGCTCTGGTTGTGTTTGGGGGTCTTGGTGTTTCTGCGTCCCGAGCGGTATGGTGAGCGGTCCGTAGACACGTCTCGGTCCCCGTGGGGTCATTCGTAGGAGGACATCGTGGAGTCGGTGGTGGTGTGCACTCCCGAGGGTCTGGGCCAGGTTCCGGTTTTTGGTCCACCTGCCAGTCTGCGTGAGCATGTCTGAGCAATGTGGGGGACGGGGGCCCCTCTGGCCCCGCTCTTCCATCTCTTGGGGACGGAGCCGTGTGCTGGTGGCTCCGCCCCATCGCTGTGCTGGGAGCTGCGAGACCTGGAGTGTGGGTGGCTCAGCTGGGTTTCACCCCAGACGTACAGCCCAGCGGGGGGCTCAGCCGTGGTGTCCCCGAGGGGAGGGGACCACCGTCCGCGGGGCTGGTGGAGCATGTCTCAAGAGGACAAGGACCCAGGGGCGCCATGGTCCCCTTGCACCCGGGCTTGCTGACGTGGCCTGACTCCTGAGCTGGCCAGGAGCGTCTCGGCCAGGTGGGGGCACAGGGCATTCACCCAGCTTCGTAAATGGAAGCAGCCGGTGCACCCCGACCTTGTCCCTCACCGTTCCTGCCTCTGTTCGTGTGTCTGCTCGTGGAGCGGAGGCCTCACTGGGGAAGGGCCGGGCAGGTGCCCACGGGGATGTGGCCTCCACGCAGTTGGCTCATGGGCCGGCCAGGATGTGGGGAAGGGGGAGGCCCTGCGTCTCCCGGGAGCACAAGCAAGGATACTCCGAGGAGGCACCGACCCAGCTTGTCTCCCCAGAACATCCGGTCTCTGATGGGCGTGGAGAAGACCAAGGGCTTCTGTCAGCTGGTGGTCTCCTCCAGCCTGCGGGACGGCATGTCCCACCTGATCCAGTCGGCCGGCCTGGGGGGCATGAAGCACAACACGGTGCTCATGGCGTGGCCCGAGTCCTGGAAGCAGGAGGACAACACTTTCTCCTGGAAGAACTTTGTCGGTGGGTGCGGTGCTTGGGCCCGTGGGCGGGGCTCCCACTGGCGTCCTGGTGTCCCACGTCCCATGAGAAAGCACCCCACCATGTGATACCTCGCTGGTGCGGTGATGCCGGAGAGCCCCGCACCCCTGGGGCCGGCGGCCCAGTGGCTGGCCGAGCGAGGCTGCGCTGCCTTCAGCACGGGCCCCAGGTGGGGCTTCCCGGGGACCCGTGGCCTCGCCTGCCTCCCACGCTGGCTGGAGCCCGCGAGTCCCTGGGGCAACCCGCCACTGCCTCTCCACAGAAACCGTCCGAGACACCACGGCGGCCCAGCAGGCCCTGCTGGTGGCCAAAAACGTGGACCTGTTTCCACAAAACCAGGAGCGCTTCAGCGACGGGGACATCGACGTGTGGTGGGTCGTGCATGACGGGGGCCTCCTCATGCTCCTGCCGTTCCTGCTACGGCAGCACAAGGTGGGCCGCGGGGCGGGTCCCTCGGCGGGGGGCAGGGCTCGGCTGCCGCAGCAGGTGCCAGCCCCGAGGCCCCCGCCAGGTGTGGAGGAAGTGCCGGATGCGCATCTTCACGGTGGCCCAGGTGGACGACAACAGCATCCAGATGAAGAAGGACCTGCAGATGTTCCTGTACCACCTGAGGATCAGCGCCGAGGTGGAGGTGGTGGAGATGGTGAGGGGTCTGGCGTGGTCCTGGGCTCGGGGTCCCGTAGCGCTGGCCTCGTCCTCCCGCCGGGGCCCATGCTGCCCTGGTTCCGTGGGCTGTGGCAGCTTTGCAGAAGTTTACCTTTGCTAGGCCCGGGGCTGGGCTGGTGGGTTTAGCGGGTTATGGGGGGGACCCCGATGTGACGTGGCCCTTCAGCACGTCCTGCGGGCGGACGTGGCAGCCGGCCCATCAGAGGCCGTGAGCCCGCAGTCCAGGCTCCTCCGCTACAGATCCCAGCGTTCCCGCCTGCAGACTCTGTCCCGGAGCAGGTCCCCGGGGCAGGGGGAGCGCTCTTCTGCCCGTGGCATCTCTCCTGGGGCTGCTGTTTGTGTCTCCCCTGGCCATGGCCACGGCCACATGGACTCCGGCGATCTCCCCATGTCGGGGTTTACGCGGGACCACACGGTGGTTCTGTTGCTCACGCTGTTCCGCCGTGGCCACTCTGGTGTCTTCGAGGCAGCGCCTGTGTCGTCTGCCCTCTGCCGTCCCCATCCCGGCTGTCACCCCCGCCAGCCATTCCCGTCCACATTCAGGAACCTTATGCGACGTCAGGTCCCAGAAGCCAAACAGAACTGGGGTGGAAACGGTCATGGGGTGCAGCGTGGCAGGATCACGCCGTGAGGCGTGGACTCCCGTGGTTTGCAGTGACTATATTTGTGTATCAAGGCTGCTAATTTCACTGAGTTTTCTAAGTAGGTGGTTGGTGCATTATGGTTAAAATCCATGTCCCTGCTTGATTTCAGTCATGACTGCAAGTTTTGTTTCATTGGGCGTTAGGGATGCAGTTGCATCTCTTCCGTGAGAGCAGGCCACTGTCCAGCCTCGCGTGGCCATGCACTCCGGTGAGGCCAAGAGCAGACCGTGGTCAGAACCCGCTTAGCCAGGTCCTTCCATTGGGAGGTGGGCAGGGTCCCTGTGGTCCGTGCTCTACTTCTGGGCCATTGGCCAGGCCAGCCTCCACCCTGGGCCCAGCCCGCCAGCATAGCAAGCCCACCTCGTGGACAGCGAGGGCCCAGGGCACCGTCTCCAGGAGCCAGGGAGCCTCACGGCAGAAGGGGAGGCCAGAGTCAAAGGCCAACATTGAACAGCAAGAAGTCAGGGTCACTAACAAGGAGGGAGATGCTCCCAGCCAGCAAGGCTTAGAAAACTACTCCAAGTGTTGAACCAGGACACGTGAGCGGGAAGGATTTGGTGGTTATCGTTAAGACGTGGCTTTAAAGAGTAGACTTTATAGATTTTATAACAAGTACCAGGGAGTAAGAGTCAGTGCATATCTAGCCAGCAGAGTCAAAGACACCCGGCCAACAGCTAGCCCCCCACAGATGTCTCCAGAGGTTAGCAATAAGCGGGCTGCCCACCAGTCTCCCTTTCCGGAAGCTGATGCTGGAGCTTAAGTGTTGGAAGCAAGGAGACGTTTGTGCAGACATCACTTAAATATCTGGAAAACCCAAGAAAATATCCAGAGTTCAGTAAGGTGGATTGACGCAGAAACTGTGTCAGAACACATCTCCGCACGTTTGTGGGACGGGATCCAGCTTGCAGGAGCAGTGACCAGGGCCTGTGGCCCTGCCAGACGATGGGAGAGCTCTGCGGAGGGTCACAGGGCGCTCCCTGTCTTCGGGCCCAAGAGGCAGAGGACATGGTGCTCGCCTGACACCACCCCCATCCTGGACTGGTGGGGGGACCCAGGGCCACCTGCCAAGGGTCAGGCCAGGGGTTGGAGAAGATCCTGGCCCTGTCGTCACCGGGCAAGCTCCAGACACCTCTGCAGGACGAGGCGTGTGCTTCCCCCGGAGCAGGCATGGGAGCAGACACGGATTCAGCTGTGGCCAGTTCCCACTCACGCGGTCACCCACACACACCATTTGGGGGCCACTGGGGCTGAGGGTGCTGGGGTGGGCTGGGGACAGCCGGTGTGCAGACGGCAGGTGCAGCCGGGGACGAGCGCCTGTTGACTTGGCGTGCTTCACGCACTGTCTAGGTTGAAAACGACATCTCCGCATTCACATACGAGAAGACTCTGATGATGGAGCAGAGGTCCCAGATGCTGAAGCAGATGCAGCTGTCCAAGACGGAGCGGGAGAGGGAGGTGCGTGTACGGGGAGTGGGCGGGCACCTGGCAGCCCCACTTGCACACGCGGCAGGAGCAGCCCCTCCGAGCGGGTGTCCTTGGGGTGTCCAGCCGCAGCTTGCTGGCCTGACCAGCAGGACCAGGTCTTGGCGGTCACGGAGCCGTCCGTCCCCAGCCTGGCTTTCTGAATGGCCGGGTGGCACGATTCTGCCCTCATGGCCCCCAGGGTTCCACACCCAGGCTGAGGTTGGGGCCATGTAGACCCCGTCTGCACACATGGGTCTGCTCGGACCAGCGTCCTCTGGCCTTCCCAGCTCTGCTCCTGTCTGAACCACCATAGTGGCCCCCACATGGCCTCCCTCCTCCTTCCCGTAACTTGTTTGGCCGAGAGCCACAGTGGGTCCCAGAGAGCCAGCGTGCTGACCCCTCCACGCGCCATCCCTGCCCTCCCCTCATGTCACCCTGCGGTTTCTCGGCAGCACCCGGCTCTGCCCTGAGCCCTGTCGCCCCCTCAGGCCAGCTCCCTCTGGGCCTCAGTCATGGTCTTGCTCGCACATGGCCTGTCCGGCCTGCCTTGGGCAACACTGACTTTCTCAACGTGCACCTGCCCCGCCCCAAGAACATGGGCTCCCTGACTCACTTTGTGCCGTTGACGAGTGTGGGGACGGGGGTGGTGGCAGACAGGTGGATGGATAAACGGGGGATAAAGGAGTGAGGGATGGATGGACGGATTGACGAGCGGGTGGGGTGGAGCTATGTCAAGTGCAGACTTCTGGGTGCATACATCCCCTCGTCAACGCGGAGCTGTGGGCTGTTCTCAGTTGCCTTCAGAGCTGGGGCAGGAAGAGGGCCAAGTTGGGTCTGGATGCCCAGGAGGAAGGCCCCGGCTGGGGTTTGGGGTGGCATCAGGTCCCCTGCGAAGGAGGGCTGGTCCTGGGGTCCCGGCTTCTCATCTGCACCCGATTCTTCTCGGGAGCGTTTTGGAGACGTGAGGTCACAGAATGGGTCCTGTTGCCTGTCCCCTGCTCTCCCGCCAGGCTCAGCTAATCCATGACAGGAACACTGCGTCCCATTCTGTGGTGGCCACCAGAACCCAGGCCCCGTCCACCCCAGACAAGGTGCAGATGACCTGGACCAAGGAGAAGCTGATCGCGGAGAAGTACAAGAACAAGGAGCCGGGCATGTCTGGATTCAAGGACCTCTTCAGCCTGAAGCCGTGAGTGTTGGCCGGGGGCTGGGGGTGCTTCGTGGTCTGGTACTGGTCACAGGCATGCGCCTGCTGACCCGTGGGCCCACGGGCCACCGTTCGCCGGGATCCGGGTGTCTGTGTTCTTGCTGGATCCCAGCAGCTAGAGGTCAGGGCTTGTGGGGGGCTGGGGACTTACAGCTGTGACCCCACCGCCCATGCAGGCTGCCCACGGGGGCCCAGGTTCTGCCTGTGGCGTTGGGCTGAGCATGGGGGGCACGGTGCGGCTGGGCCCGGAGGGTCTTCAGTGAGGGGAGGGTCCGGGGAGAAGGACCAGGTGGGCCGGGGGAGGACAGCCAGGATCCTCGTGGTCACTCTTGAAGTAACTCATTCTTTGTGTTTTCTCTCCCATGTAGAGAATGGGGAAATCTGTAAGTCGTCTCATTTTATTTAGGATGCTTCTTAGACCTGTTACCACGCATGCTTGGCCCATGCTGCTGTGTGAACCGTGTGTGCATGTGTGCACGTGTGGACAGTCCTGTGTGTGTGTGCGTGCCCGCACGAGCTGCAGCCCCCCTCTGTCCAGACGGCTCAGGGCACACAGCTGAGCTTCCTCCTGGAGCAGCGCAAGGACTGGGCTGCAGGGAGGGCGGGTCCTGAGCCGCTGGAGCAGAGGGGGGCCGGCGCTCGGTAGCTCTTAGCTGCTCCGTCCGCATCCCTGGAGGCTGAGCGTTTGGACAGATCTGCTCCCTGGCCCTGGGTGCTGTTCACCCAGGAAGCTGCAGCCCGGAAGTGCAGAGGGGTGTGGACAGACCCTGTGCATGCTCCAACACGGGGGGCAGCTGGACGGGCTGCTGTGCACCCCCTGCCCCCCCAGCGCCTGCGGGTGTGTCCCCCGCAGAGGGGTGGCCGGGCGGCGTCCACAGCAGAGCGCTGAGGCTGAGGGTTGGGCATGGAGGGCGTGGAGCCTGTAGACATGCGGGGATCTGCGGGGAGGTCCCCAGGTAAAGTCAGTCAACAAAAACAAAAGCGGGAAGACAGGAATATGGTTTCTCCCCAAAAACGCTGAGAGCCATGGGCCTGCTGACCCTGTCCCCGGGGCTCTGGGGGGGCTCCTGGTCAAGGGTTGGGCTGGGAGGTCAGCTTGTAGGGGGCAGGGGACTGAGCGACGGGTGGCTGGCTGTCCCCGGGGCGTTGGTGCGTGCAGGTGCTCATCTGCTTGTGTTTGGTCCGTTGTCCGTGCTGTGTGGCCCCCAGGAGCCCAGGGACTGGAACCTCAGCTTCCCCCCCATGCTGGCCACGTGCTCATCGCTCACCTGCCCCTCCTCTGCCCCAGGCGGCCCACCACCCCCAGCCTCAGCAGAGGCTCTGCCCCACCAGATTCAGTATACGGATGACCGGCTCCCTTACCCTGTGCATTTACGGCCCGCTGTGGGGAGCAAATGCAGGTTTCTGCTGGCTTCCTGGAAACACAAGGGCCAAACTGGCCATCTCCGCGCCCCTGTGACCTCCACAAGGCATGTCACCCTGGAGCCCAGGGCCCTTCCAGCCAGACCCAAACCCCTGATTTTCAGATTATATGTGTTTTCAGGCTTTCAGCCGTAAGGGATCCTTCGATACCACACAGACGCTCATTTCTGGAGTGAGTCTTGTCCCCAAACACTGGTAATTGTGGTCTATCCAGGCAGCTAACTCATGGTCTTGTAATGGAAGATCCCTGATTGTGCCGTGGACAGGTGCCCAGTCTGTAATTTTATCAGGCGAAACTGGACAGAAAGAGGCCCGGCTCCCTGTTTTCCTCCTGGGAATTGGTGGTTGTGATGTGGTGTATTTGGCTCAAGGGCTGAGCTGGTGACAGGGCGTGACCCAGACGCGGCCCCAGCGGGCCCTCCCCCCACCCTGTGCCCTGGCCTCTGTCTGCCCCTCCACCCCCAAGTCTGTGGCAGGGTGACCTGCTCTTGGCAGGGCTGCAGCCGACACAGCCGGGCTGCCCGCGGATTCCATCGCGCAGGCCACCCGAGAACTGGCAGAGTTGCCAGGTTTTCCAGCTCAGGGGTATGGACGTCTTGGAGGCGGTTACCTCGCCCAGACTGCGTCTCCTGAGTTGCTTCCTGGGACACACTCAGCCCGTGGGGACCCATGGGGGCCGTGGCCACCTGGCGCACGTGGGGTAGACGAGGATGGGGCCGAGTGCAGGCGGGCGGGCAGGGGTCTGCCTGGGACTCTTGGAGGACCATCGGTGCACAGTGGAGTGCGCAGAGCCGGTGGTTGCTGAGGACGAGGGGCAGGGCCTGGGTTGCTGAGCGTTGGAAGCGCTTGCCCATCGGCCATTCGCCAAGGGCAGCAGGCACGCTGCCCAGCCCGGGATGGACCTTGAAGTCTCATTCTCGACCAGAATCTCCAGCCTGGGCGCCAGGCGCCTGGGCGTCTCCCTGCACAGCATGTCTGGGCTCCCCTGCGCCCCCAGCCTGTCAGGACGAGTGAGATGCCATTGTGTGCTCACTTGAGCGTGGAGCAGGGCTGGGCCGTGACCCCGAGGCTCCCAGGTGGGGTGGGGTTAGGGCCTTTCATGCTCAACAGTGCGCTGTTTGCAGCAGGGGACACTGCTCCTAGTTGGAGAAGCTCGGTTTGTAGAACGTTCGGAGACCAAAGCCTTCTTGTTGGTGGGTAATGTCCCCGGTCGGTGCTCACCAGCCTCAATGGAGTCTCCTCCCCCGTGGGGTCTTTGGGGGAGGTGACGCCATTTGAATCCTGATGTTTTTCCCCGGGACTGAGATGGGCTCACAGGGCTAGGGCCGGCCTGGCGCCCAGAGCTGTGGGCCGGAGCACCAAGTGGTCCTCCCCCCGCAGGAACCAGTCCAATGTCAGGAGGATGCACACGGCCGTGAAGCTCAACGGTGTCGTCCTCAGCAGGTCCCGGGGCGCGCAGCTTGTCCTGCTGAACATGCCGGGGCCCCCCAGAAACCGGCAGGGGGATGAGAACTGTATCCTTTGTGCGTGCAGCCCAGCAGGACGGGGAAGGCTGGGCCGCTCCACCTCCCGGGGACAGGGCTGTCTTGCCCGGAGGATTCCTGGGTTGGGGGCGGGAGCAGTGGGGCCTGAAGCGTGGCCCCTGGTGCCAGAGCCTCCAGCCCCTGGGCTAAACCTGCGCAGACCAGGTGGAGGGGCAGACTTGGCCCCCCGGTCTGAGTGCCAGAAACTGGGGGCCCCAGGTGAACAGTTCTTGATTGGTTTGGGGCATCAGTGACTGAGGAAGCCGTAAATGTGCGGGGTATCCTGGGCAGCTCAGGCCCTCCGTGAAGAACCTGGCACATGCAGGAATTTGGACCACGGGTGATATGAACACGGACACAGAGCCCTGGCCCCGAAACGCCCAGTGTGGGGGCAGTCACCACACCCCTAACCCCATACCCTGCTCGCCGTGGGTTCCGGTGCTGGCTCTGAGCTCCTGCCTGGCCCGCTCCCGGGCTGGGCGTCTTCCTGGAGACGGGGGGCACCGTGTCCCCTCATCCAGGTGAGCCAAAGCACAGGTGGTCCCCCATGTGCCTCCCAGCCCTTCTCAGCTGGTGCCCCTCCTGGTTGGCTGGAGGCTGCCAGGCCTGACCTTGGAGGTCACAGGTCAGCTCTACCATGAGCTGGGTTCGCACCCTTAACTGTGCGTCCTGTGATGGGGACTTGGGTGCCTAGTGGGTGTGCGGCCTGGGGGCTGCCCTCTGGGGTATGGCCCCCGCCCTCCCCTCTGGTGCCGGAATGTGGGTAGCGGGGGTGGGGGTGGGGGATTAGCAGGTGGCTCTTGGGCTTAAAGCCTTGATCTAACCACAAGCTTGAGGACTCTGCGCTTGGGTGGTGACCGGACTGGGACTTGCGGGCTGTTAGGGCTCTCGATGGATTCCTATCTGTGCTGAAGCCCCGGGGTGAGGGCGGGGCTCTGGTTCCCGGTCAGGCCTGCCACAGGCGCGTGCTGATCTGAGCGTGCATCCGGTGGGCACCTGGCTGAGGCCTGCATTGGGCCTCTTCCTGCAAACCGACCTCCCTCTGCCCGGGACTCTTGTGAGTGTAACCAGCTGTCCTTAACTCAGGTCACCCCAGATATGGAGTTCCTCGAGGTCCTGACCGAGGGGCTCGACAGGGTCCTTCTGGTCCGGGGCAGCGGCCGGGAGGTAGTCACCATCTACTCCTGACACTCAGCCTCACGGGAACACGCCGGGTGGGCTGGGGATTATGCTACACTTGGCCTCCTGTGGAAGTTTCCAGAATAGCCCCACAGCTCTCCCTCCAGGCGCGGAGCCAGCCCGCAGCTGCAGTGGTTTCCTCGCGTGGAGGGGAGGCGTGGATGCCCCCGAGGGAGGCTCGCGGTGACCTGGGACCAGCGGCACTGGCCATGCGCTCAGGCTGTGAGTTCCAGAAGCGGTTTCCGTGGCCAGACCTGTCTGGTTGTCATGGTTGCGCGTCAGTTCTGCCTCGTCCAGGATGCTCACGAGAAACCCCTGCTCTGACTGAAGGTCACTTTGGGCCACAGGGGTCCATTCAGGAAGGTGACCGAGAGCCTTGGTCCCTCGGTCAGCCTCCTCAGCGCCTGTCCCTGCAGCGTCCCTGTTTGTGTTCCTATAAATTAAGGCCGAGGAGAGCCGTCCACCCCGGGCTCACTGGGTGGCCTTGGTCAACGTGCCTGCCTGGTGCAGGAATGTCTAGGAGGGGGACCCCGATTCCTCGGGGACGTGGATGGTCATCCCGGGTGGGCACGTTCCGGGGGGTTCGGCTCCAGGAAGCTGCCTGAGGGGCAGAGACCCAGGCAGGGGTCCTGCCACGCCCGGGCTGGGTTTGCAGCTGGGACACAGCCACGTCCTACACAGGCATCTGGGCCCCGTTTCTGAGAATTCACCACGGTTCCCCGCTTGATGTGTGCGTACCCATGGCCCTCGGTTTCCACGCGCCAGGCTCCACGGACAGGGTGCCCAGGGCCTCAGCGGCCCTGAGTGAGCGAGCCGAAGCCCGTGTGCCTGTCCCCTCCTGTCAGCACACGGGGGATGGTGGCAGCCACATGTGGGGCACTGTGGGCTGTTTCAGTTGGCCGTGGACTTGCTTTGTGGTCGTGGTCCCAGTCACACTGCTGTAGCTTGTGGTGACCTGTGCTTCGTCTGTGTGGTGTATTTATTTATTTAAGCACCTGGGGATTTCAGTGGTAATTAGGGCATCAGTGAAGAGACTGCTTCTGTGAACAAGCCCCAAACGGCCGTGTCCTTGGCATTCTCTGGCTTCTTCAGACCCCAAGGAAGTCGCCTGGTCCACAGATTTCAGGTCAGGGCAGAGGCTAAATGTCCAGACATTCGAGGAGCTGTTGGGCAGCACAGAGGGTCTGCGTCGTCGAGAGTGACCACTGGCCAGAGCGTGTGCCAAACCGCCGCAGCCAGGCCCGGGCATCCATGCTCTTCCCCCCGCTGTTCTGCACCCAGTGAAGCAGCGAAACCCAGCTCCCTGGCTCTCAGTCCCCTGGCCTGTCAGGGGCAGAGCCACGTCCCCAGGGCCCCGTGGCGCTGACACTGCGCTGTGGAAGGGCTGCGTGGCAGGACCTCCCCCGTGCGCCCAACCCCTGTTCACATGGCGTAGACCTTAGTGCAGCTGCAGTGGGAGGGCTCGGCTGCATCTGCGCGCCCCCCTCCACACAACCTCGTGGGGCCCCACGTGCAGCCAATCAAAGTTGGTTCCACGTTGTTTTCTAGCTTCCTTGTCTTTGTATCATTTGTTGGTAGAAGAATAAATTGTATAAAAGCTGAGTACTTGGACAAGTCTCCGTGTCTCATTCAGCATGAAGGTGGGACTGCTGGAGAAGCACCCTCCCTCCCTCCCCGTGGGCCTCCTGGTCCTATCGGCCAGGGCAGAGAGGGTGGCTCACACATCATCACCTGCATTGCCCAAGAGGCGTAAAGAACAAAGCAAAAGGCAGTGGGAGGGTCCGAGCACGAGGACGTGATGCTGCCAGTTACTGAGGTCGTAATTCCTAGAAGGGTGGGATCCGCAGGGAAAACCCGTCATTAGAGGGGCCCCCTTGTTCCAGCGTCCAGGCTCACGGCGTGAGCACTTAACCGCCCAATGGGAGGACAAGCATGAGACCCTGGAGCCCTCCCGCGTGGCGGGGGGGGTAGCGAGGAGGTGCCACGGGTCCTGAACCACTAGACTGTGGCCTCCCAACCCAGCCTTCCTGCTCCCAGAGCCAGAGCCAAGGGGCCTTGTGTCCCCACGCGTTCACAGCAGCGAAACTGCAGGCGCCCGGCATCAGCCGTTGGTGAGTGGGAGACCACGGGGTCTCTGCCTTCCAGGGAATGAAATTCTAGCAGTCTTGAGGACGTGGGGCCACGCAGAAGCAGCCAGTCAGGGCACGTGTCCTATGCTAACGTACACGGAATGCCCAGAACGGACAAAGCCAGACGGCGTGCTGGTGACCACTCCCCGGGTGGGGTCGGGGGCAGGGAGAACCCATGACCCTGGGCACGGGGCTGCTTTGGGGGTGACGGGGTGTGCTACAGGGGTTGTGGAGAGCATACCTTCTGAACAACTAGGACGCTCAGCATGGCGGCCGTGACAGGGAGCCGTGTGGCGTGGCAACCGACCCTGTGTCCTGGGGGCCTGGCTCGAGGCGGCTGCAGCACCATCGGGAGTGACCCTCCTTCAGGCCTGCTGTGAGCGCTGGCCGGGCCCGGGCACCCACACATGTGACGTGGAGCAGAGGCCTGGCCTTTGGGGCAGGGGGCCCAGATGTCCCGGGCACAGAGGGCAGGGTGGGGCACGCAGATGGAGCTGCACGGGGAGGACCTAGCAGAATCCGAGGGTCCTGACTCGGCCACCGGTGCCCAGGGGGCCCGTGGGGCAGGTTCTGTGAGCGAGCGAGCCAAGAGGCCCCCGTGGGGCTTCAGACTCCGTGTCACACCTTCTCAGAGAAGTTGATCGAGTCCTCTCACTGCCAGGAGAGATCCCGGCCCCCCATGGGCCTGAGCGGCGGTTGTGCCCGAGACCCTTCTGCACAGCTGTGAGCCGTCCATGCCTCGGTGAGGAGGCATCAGCCAGCACCCAACATGCGTGTGGGGGGAGCTGTGACCGGATGGCAGAGGAGAGACGGGGTCAGTCTAGGCACAGGCAATGGCAGGTGCCGAGGCCCTGAGGCAGGGACAGCCTGAGGGTGGGAGGGGCTCCGAGGTGGGGTCAGGACCGGGCAGGGGACTGTCAGAGCAGGAGCCGGGCCTCCGGTGTGGATGATGGAGGCTGCGGAGCCGACAGCAGGGGGTGGGGGTCCAGGAGATGGGGGTCCCGCTGGAGATAGAGGTGAGGGCAGGGCACAACAGCCCACCTGTGGCCAGGGAGGCCTGGACTCCGGCATCAGGGTGATGGGGCCTCTGGGCACTGGGAGCAAGGCCCAGGAGATTGGGAGCCCCGAGGAGCTCGAGGGCCCCGTGCTTTGGGCCGTCGCTCCAGGCTCCCGCCTTCAGCCTGTGGTTCCAAGCTGGTGGGAGGGGAAGGCCGTGAGGCTAGGGCAGGTTGGGGGACGCTGGCCTGGGAGTTGAATGAAGCCCTGTCCTGCGCGCCGTGCACGTGGCCCAGCTGCGGCATCGGGAACGTGGCCGTGTGCCCTGTACCATGGGCACGGCCCCACGGGGAGGGACGGTAAGGAAAGGGTTACGTGGTGCCGGTTTCGGTACTCCTCCCAGGCGGAGATGGTCACAGTGAGCTTCTGTCCTTGCTGAGACCTGACGTTAGCAGCCCACATTCCCTCAGGATTCACGCTCAGCCGATGCGGGGACCCCAGGTGGACAGGCGCCCCCTCCTTGCAGGGCTGGGCTGGGCTGACCGCCTGCCTGGGGCTGCCACCTGCGCCTGGCACCTCCGGGGCCCCTTCCTCCTGGGCCCAGCCCTGTGTGCGGTCCTTGCACCCGTCCCTTGGCTCCCGCACCCAGGCCCCGGGGTCTGGCCCTGCTGGTGCCTCTCCCGGGGCGGCCGGGTGCCAGGCAGGCCCCGCCAGCTTCCTCCCGGGCTCCTTGCTTTCACCAGGACCTCGCCGGGCGCTCAGGGGACAAGACGGTTTCTCTGGCTTTGTGTTTTTTTTCTGCGGTGGCCTCCGGTGCCCCGAGGGAGAGACAGGGTGGAGGTGAGGGGGACGGGAACCAAAAGGTCCCAGACAATTCCTCGCAGCGTCTGCCCCCATCGTCACTGACCGCTGGGTGGGGTCACGTGGACTTGTGCCTCAGAGCAGAGCGGCCGTTGATCCCAGCGTCCTCATCCGAGGGACGCCCTGCACAGCATCGCCTCCCCGACTGTCCTTCCGCGAGCGGACAGCGTCTGCAGAAGCGTCTCGAGGAGTGTCCTGCTTTTCTCTCCTGATTTCGGGTGGGAAACGCACCGCCGGCTCAGAGGCCCCACCTGCCACAGGTGGTCTGCCAGTGGGAGTGGCCCAGGCAGGCGTGGCGGGCGGTGTGGATCTCCATTCCGGGAGGCGCCCCACCGTGTGAGCCCCCCGTGGGCGCGTGCGTGCCCCTGGTGCACCCCCGGGCCGGGAGCTCCCGCTCAGCGTTTCCAGGGGCTCGCACCAGTGCGCCCGCCCGCCCGCCCGCACCCCAGAGCATCCTTCACGTTGTGTGTTCACCTGGAGTGGGTCCGGGCTTTGGTCAGGTGACCATTTCTCCGTGGGCACCCGGCCTGTGCTCCGTAGGGCACCGTTGTCCCAAATGTAGTGGCTGTGTTTGTAGGAGCTGCGTCTGGGCCTCCTGCCTGCTCCGTGACTCGCTTAGCCTGGCCTTGGCGTGCCGAGTTCGTTCCCGTGGCCGCAGCATGTCCTGGCGGTGGTCAGTGCCTTCACCTCGCTGCGCATGTTCTCACCCCTTTGCTTTTCCATGCATTTTAGCATCAGGAATCTGGCTGAGATCTCAGCTGGGACCGAGTTGCTGCTTCGAGCTGCCTGTGTTGACCCACCCAGGCACACGCCCCTCCGTTTAGATCTTTCCAGACGACGCCCGATGAAGTTCACGGTGCCTGAGTTGAGATCTTGGCCATCCAGGCGTTTGGCATCGTGGGTGCTGTTGTAAGTGGTCTCCGCAGTAGTCAGGGTTCCCCAGAGAAACAGAAGCATAGTACACAGAGATACAGGAATTGGGTCCCGTGATTACCAAGGCTGGGAGACCCTGGCAAGTCCATGGGGCTGAATCAGTCCGAGCCCTGAATCCTGAGATCCCAGGCTCCCGGATGCCCGGGAGCAGAAGGTGGATGCTCCAGCTCAAGCGGAGGGAGAGAATTTGCAGGACAGTCGCTCAGTCAGCCTGGACGGATGGGGAGGGTGGCACTGCCCCAGAGGGCAGCTGGGAAGGAGACGCTGGGCTTCCCGTGGCTTCATCAGGTACTGGCCGTGCCCCGGCTGGGGCTGAGGGTAGGACCTGGAGAGGGCAGCCGCTCCCCAGGGAGGAGCAAACGCGGACAGGCCAGTCCCCTGCAGCGCACCTTCTCATCCCCAAGTCCCGGGTCTCGGTCTGGGTCTGATTCTGGCCGGGCTACGATTCGGGTATCCCTGACAAACTCCTGGGCACTTCCATGCCACTGGTCCAGACCCATGGCTCAGGGCCACCCAAGAGACTCAGCACACGGTGAGTGAGAGACCCCACTGGACGCCAAGACCGTCTCCATACCTTTGGCCTGGGAACTCCAGAGTTCGAGCTGGTGTCCATGTAGGTGTTTCTGACTCAGCAGCCCCCATGTGCACGGCATCATCTGATCTATCCGGCCCAGAGTGGAACAAAAAGCCAGAGAAAGAGCCAGTTCTCTCTAGTGGTCATCATGGGCGGTCCCTCTGCCTTCCCACCTGCCTCTGCCCCTCCTTCTGTGCTCTGAGACCCCTTCTTTCTAAAACCATGGCTCGTCCCCAGAATCTCTGGCTGAAGCCCTACCCAGTGCCCCACACCCTTCCTGGGATTCCCAGTAAGCTTCCACCCGCCCCTGCCCACAGCCCCAACACGGAATCCTCAGGCTGTCCCCGGCACTGCCCACCTTCCCTGCCCTGTGGAACGGGGGCGCCAATGCGCCTGACCCCACCGGGGCAGGGCTGGCCAGGCCCTGACTCCTGCCCGCCCTCCTGAGCAGCACCCGGGCCTCCTGCTTTCCCCGGACCTCCAGGCCCACTGTCCCTCCTGGCCTCCATGGGCACTTCCCGTGGCAGGCCACGCTGAGGCCAGAGGGGGCTCTGTTTGGAGCGAGGCTTCTCGGGAGCACGCACTCTGGGCTGAGACTCCTGGTTCACTCATTCCTTCACCCTCCAGTGCCCACTGGGCTGCCCCTGTGTGTGGTGTTCTGCCTGGTACCGAGGACAAGGCGTGTGGCCTCGGAGCTCGTGGGTTGGCGCCCAGGAGCAGACGGGAACGAGATTCCAGGTGGCAGGAGTGGGTGAGGCTAGCGTGCTGGTGGGGACACAGGTCTCCCCAAGTGCAGTGAGGAAACACAGCTGAGAGTGACCCCCTGGGATGGGGGTGGCGTGGGGGTCTCCCAGGGGCAGGGGATGGCGTGGGGCATGTCGGGAGGAGTGGATGGGGGCAGGTGTTGCTCCGGCCTCTCCAGACAGAGTCCCGTTTACACACAGCCACTGTCAGCCTTGGTCTGCACGGCCCCAGATGTGGTGCCAAGTGTCCCGTTACCATGAGCCCAGTTTGGGGCTTAGGTTTTGGGGTTTCTTGTTTGTTTATGCAGTAAAGTGGGGGGAAAGGTTATCCATCAATACGGAGCGTGCACGTACATGTGTGTAAGAGACAGACGCGCACTCTCCCACGCACCCGGCAGGGCGGCCTGGTCCGCACACGTGTGCCCACACGCTGCTGGGGCAGGTGGACAGAACGTCTCCGAAATGCTTGTTTTACTACTGGGTACGACGCAGTACAAAATGCACGTATTTTATTGAGCCGGCGGGGGTGGTGCTCATGCCTCAACCACCCGCACTTCCTCAACCTCGCGCCCGGAAGACAACGCGGGACTGCCGGCACAGACCTCAAGTTGCTGGCAGGTCAGCTTGCTCTTCTGGAGCCTCCTGCCTCAGTGGGACCGCTGCCCGCACCCCCGGGCCTTTTGCTGGTCTGCAGCCCCTCTCTTGATGTCCCAGAGCGAATCCCGCTTTCCCAAAGGGGAGCTTCACCGAGGCTGTGCCCGAGCGTTTGGATGTTCGCGTGTGTGCGTCCACCAAGCATGAGAAGCCTGCCCGTTGTCCACGTCTCCGTCCACGGATGACGCTGGGAAGATGCTGAAGATGCTGTCCACTGACGACGCAAGTCCAGAGGCCGCCTCCCGCGGGCCTCGGCCCTGCCCACTGCCTCCTGCCACGGTTCCTGACAGCTCTGTGTCCCGCGTGGCCGCCCGCCCTCTGTCCATCAGCGCGTGGGGGCCACGTGCACCCAGGAACACAGGCTGCCCCGAGCCCACCCCTCTGACTTCATGATGACCAAATTACAGGAGGGGCCGCCCAACAGGGAGCCCTCGCCACCCTGTGCGCCCCGAGCACGCGGCGCGCCTGAGCGGAGGCCCAGCACCACAGGGCCTCGTCTGGAATCCAGCGAGCAGACACGCGTGCATTTTTCCGTGCTTGGTTTTAAGGGTGACACGAAAGAGCTTCATAACAGCGCCGTCTGCGGCATCCCACGTGTTCACGTGGGCCCGGCGTCCTTGCGGAGGGCAGCAGGGGCGGACGGCAGCCCTCCCAGCAGCGGCCGTCGGGCACCTCCGTGGGGGCCCCGCCCGGGGGTGCGTGCCACGCACTAGGAGGCGTGGTGGTGGTGGTGGTGCTCGTGGTGGTGGTGGTGCTCGTGGTGGTGGACCACGGGCACCGCACAGCCCTCCCCCGCCAGCATGGGCGGCAGGGCCCGCACCACCTCGTGCTCCAGCGCCGCGGGCTGGCCGAGCGCCGCCTTGAGCGGTGAGTGGACTTCCCTGCTCTTCCTCCGGGACCGCCTGTGGCCGTAGGGCTGTGCTGGGGGCTGCGGGAGGCGGTGGCCGTCCTGGGGGGCCTGGGGCGGGGCAGCCGGCGGGGGGCAGCCGAAGGCTCTCCCGGGCTTGCCTGTGCCCGGCGCCCCAGGCGGCCGCCCTGAGCCCCTGGGGGGCTTGAGAAGCTGCTTCTCCTGCCCCTTCAACCGGGGCTGCACGTCCAGGGCCCTGACGGCGGGCTCTGCGGCCAGCAGCGGGTGGTCGGCCAGCACCTGGGGCCGGCGCTGGAGTGCCGTGTGCGTGTCCGCCTCCTGGGAGCGGGACCGGCTCGGGGGGTGCGCGGCCTTGCCCAGGTGCTCCTGCTTGGCCTGTGACGGCGGCGCCCCTGCACAGCCAGGGTGCCTGTGAGACCGCGGCGGGGCCCCCGCGGACACGGGGCGCCCGGGACACCCGCCCGGGGCCCAGGACGTCTCCCCTTGGGGCAGGGACGACCCGCACGCCTGAATGGGGGGCCCACCTGTGGATGCAGTACTGTGCTGTGATTCGTTGCAGGGACCCCAGGACGCTCAGGCGGGGCTCCTGCCCCTGAGGTGTCTGTACCCAGGGCCTCATACCCAGGGCCGGTCTCCCGCACCTACCGGGTCCAAACCTAGATGTGTAGTTCTCGATCCCAGCCAGGTCCAGGTAGTGATTTCTCCGCTCGGTGTTCTCGTCCACGCAGTATGGGCCGCGCTCGCAGCAGGGGTGGGGGTCGGCGCCGGGCCTCCTGCGTGCGCCGCGGGAATGAGGGCCTGAGCTCCTGGGGCCGCATGAGGCCAGAGCAGGGCACTTGGAGCGGAGGGGCGCCTGCAGCGGGCGGTCTCAGGGTCCACGCAGGGGCCCTGACCAACACCCAGGAGGAAGGCCAGCGAGGACAGCAAGGCCCCAGCCAGCCCCGGGGGCCCCCAGCACGACCCCAGCACCACCGTCGGGGATGCCCCACAGAACTCAAGAGCGCTGGACCGTTCGAGTCTGCGGCAGAGAGCGGGTCACCACGCCGGGCCCTCCAGACTGCCCAGTGACACCCACAGGGCACCAGAGCATGGCGACGGAGGGTCTCGAGGCCAACCCACCACTGCCCCTCAAAGCCCCCCCGCCTCTCAGACACTGAGTGCACTGAGCCCCAGCCAGAGCGTCAGCCGCCACAGAGGCCCCAAGCTGCTGCCCTCACCCCGATGGCGGGCCGTGCCCGGGGCCTCTCGGCCAGCGTCCCGCCCTCTGCGCCAGGTGCCTGGCTTGGTGGCTCCGTCCTGAGGGGACAGCCCTGAGGCCTGCAGGTGGCAGGGTGGGCGGGCTGCTCCCACTGAGGACAAGCCAGAGGACGGAGCCGGACCGCAGTCCCTCACCTGGCGTGTGCGGACGGCCTCTTGTCGGCCCCCCCGGGGTCCCCGGTGAGCTCGGCCTCCATCCTGCAGCGAGCGGGCTCCCGGTCTGAAAGAGGGGCAGCGCATTCCCTGCTCATCCACTCACGCACTCCTTTGCCCAGACAGGCATTTCGCCCTCGGAGGGTTGGGGCGCTGACCGGTAAACGGAGCTGACCATAACCAGAGGCTCGGGGAATGAGCAGTGAGCGCTGTGGGGACAGGGTGTGTGGGACGGGCTGCCGTCTCAAGCAGGGTCTCCGGGGTGTCTGAGCAGGACAGCCCCTCACCCTGGCCTGTGGGGGGACTCTCCTTCCTCTCGCTGAGAGACTCAGGGCTGACGGTCAGCTTCACACGGAGGGTCCTGCTGCTGCCAGACGAGTGGCTCACGGAGGCATCGATGGCCTCGTAGATGGTGTGCACCAGGCTGGACATGTCCTGAGGACGGCCCGATGTCACTGACAGGCAGGCCGGGCAGGGGGCCCTCGGCTGCCTCCAGGCGGCCTCCCACACACACGCCTGTCCCGTCTAGCCCTGTGTGCACCCCGGGCAGCCGGGGGGCAGCCCTGCTGGTATGGGGATCACATCTCGTGGATGCTGAAATTTGACCCCGAATCTATGTTCAGGGGATTAGCAGTCGGGTGTCACGTCCTGCACACAGGCCAGCCGAGGAGAGTGCAGGGGTGCCCCTGGCGCCCTTACCGCCCGCCCTGGGGAGTTGAACCCCAGACAGAGGCCCCACCCCCGGCCCCGCCCCGCCTGCCTCCTGGGACGGGGGCGGCATCTGCCTGTCCGTGGGCGACCAGGCGCATCACCTCCCTGGTGGCCTTGCCGCTGTGGTCGAAGCCGTAGAGCGTGAACGTCCACTCCTGGTGGCTGTCCCCCTCCACAGAGACGTCACACTGCAGCCCCTGCGAGGCACGTGGGGCAGAGGACCGCGGGCTCACCCTGGGCCCCGGCCCCTGTCCTCCTGGGAAGACCAGCCCCTCCCACGGCCCCAGGCCAGTTTCTGTGTCCTTCACGCCCCCGAAGCGCCCAAGTTCTCTGGTGTCACAGTGGTCAGTTTTGACTGAACTCACAGCAACACCCCCCGGCTCTGGAGCCCACTGACCTTCACTGGAGGCACACTCGAGGTTTAAACCACCTCCAGCCCCCCGACCGCAGCCGCACCTGCCAGACTGCAGGGTCCACAGACGCCCATCGAGGGCCCACTGCGCCTGCCCCGGCCCGCAGCCTCCCGAGGGGCAGCGCCCGCCCGGACCCGATGCCTCCCGAGGGGGGGACGCCCGCCCGGACCCGATGCCTCCTGAGGGGGGTGGTGCCCGCCCGGACCCGATGTCTCCCGGGGGGCAGGGGGAACAAAGACCTACATCAATGTTGAGGTGCTTCTTGCCTGGCCCTCGTGGGCCCTCCCGGCTTGCTGCTCTCTCTGCATTGACCACACTGGAGATCGGTCCTGTGCCCTCACGGCCCTCGGCCTTCTCCGGGGGGAGCACCACTGGAGGGAGGAGAGGGTTGGGAAGGGTGCTTTCCGGGCCAGACGGGGACGGGGGCAGCGGGGTGCAGGAGGTGGGGCCAGGGAGCCACGGAGTCCACACCAACCTCTGATCCCCTCCACCGAGGCCTGACCTGAGAGCCCGTCCTTCAGAGCAAGGGGGCGTCAAGGGAGCTGTGCAGAGGGCGGGGCGACCCTCCCCTGGGTTAGCCAGGGCCAGGTGTGTGGGCCCCCGCCCGGGCAGCAGGGGCCCGGGCACTCAGGGTGAGGAGCAGGGGTCCGGGCAGGCCGTGGCAGGGAGGTCCCGCCCGACTGCCTCGCCCTGCGCCCCCTCCCCATCCACACAGCCCAGTTATCCCTGGACACCAGGACCCAGGGGCACGTGTGTGCTGTGTCTGCTGGGCAGCACCTCGTCCCCAAGCTCCGGGGATGGATGGGCAACCAGCGCTCGTTTATTCTCTGGGATTGGAGCTCAGGCCCATCCCAGCTTAGCGACCGACACATGCCCGTGCTGGCGGGGTGGGGAACCCGCTTAGGCCTGAGCCCCCAGCGGGGAGGGTCAGCCTCCTCGCACCCCACACAACTCCCCACCCCGAGTGACACACGTCTGATCGGCCGGCACACTCCGCGGCAGAAGCTCACTTGTGGCAGGGACTCCGGTCGGTCAGCAGTTCACACGCTGACCGCTTCAGGCACCCAGACCTGACCCGTGGATTCGCCAAATGGCTTCCATACAAAGCCCGGCCATCCCACCGGCATGCACAGGCTCGCGGGAACTCCGAAGACCTAAAAGCTCAGAGACTCCAACATTTGCTTCTCAGATGCCCAGATCCAAAATCCAAATCCCCTAATTCATGTAAGGAGCCCCAAAAGAAATGTATTTCCAAGTATATTTTAAGACCAAACTGCCTTTGAGACCGGAGAACGTGGCCCACCTGCGTTGGCCTGGGCGAATCCACGGGTCAGGTCTGGGACACGCTGAGGAGTGGGGTCCCCATGGTCAGGGCTCTGAGGGCAGCTTCCAGCGTGTGCTCTGGGCACGGCTAGTTTATGAGGTTTGGGGAGGACGACTTACCCTCGAGGGGACACCGGTCCTCCCAGAAAGGCCCCTCCTTCGGGTCCCCGCCGGGCGGCCCCTGCAGAAACAACAGGGCAGTGAGACCAGGAGGCTCAGCGGTGGAGACCCCGGCACGAGCTGGGCGGCTGTGCCGGACTCCAGCCCCCTGGGCTGTCAGGCGCTCTCAGCCCAGAAACGCCAACCCCTCCACGCCGCGCTGAGCCTCGGAGTTTAGAAAGCAACCCCCGCCCCCCATTGCCCGGCTCTCTCGGCACCGTGTCCAGAGGCCGTGGCCGCTTGTGACCACTGCAGCTGCTGCTAAGTGAGCCCTGCATGCGCTGGCCAAGTGGCTCGGTCTGCTGAGCGAGACGGGCACAGGACAGGCACCAGGCTGCCCACGCGAGGCTCCCTGTCCACCGCTGACCCTTCCCGCAAGAACAGGGGCGAGGGCATGGGCGCGCCTGCCAGGCAGAAGCCCCTTGGCCTCCTCAGCCCATCTCAAGACCAGTTGCGGAAAAATGGGAAAGGATGGCCTCCCGTGTGGGGGGTGGTTTAGGAAGGGAAGCTGCAGAGTGAAGTTTACGGTCTCCGAAATAATTCACAGACGTGAACAACGCGGACAGAGAAACAGCAACAATGTGATCAGGGAAGCCTCCTTGAATCAAAGGGTCCCCGGACGGCGTGGACACTGGCCCGCCAGGAAGCAGAGCACCTCCCAGGGCGGCAGAGGGTGGGAAGGAGAGGCCTCGCTCCGTGCCTGGAGTCTTCCTGGGCCCTACCGCTGTATCATGTCTCCTGACAGGACACCCAGGCCACCCGGGCGCCCCTGCAGACACTGGCCTGGCTTCCAAGTTGGCAAGGGGCCCCGGGGCTCATCCCAAAAGGGCACCCGACACCCGACAGATGCTCTGTCTCAACAGGCAGGGGGGATGGGGGTCCTGCTGCAACCGCACGGCCTGGTTAGGATCCCGGCACGGGATGGCAGGAGGTTCCCGACGGACCCACTGCCACCCCCAGGCTCCGGGCAGGGGAGGGGACTGGACCCCACTCCCATCCGCAAATGGGCCTGAAGCCAGCGCCACAGCGGGGGCACATGGGGCCAGCTCTGCTCCTGCTCCCCAGACGGACTGGGAATGAGCAGCACTCTCCTGGGGCCGTCAAGCCTACAGGCTGCTGCCCAGGGCGCGTCGGCAGGAGTGGGCGGCTCAGGGGCCAGCGAGAGGAGGACGAGGCCACAGTCAGCCATGGGGCAGCCTCATGCCTGGCCCCTCAGGGTTTGCCCAAACCATCCGGAGCCCCCCACCCCCCGGGGGCGGCCTGGCAGCATCCTCACGCTGGCCCGGGGCCCACAGGGGCCCACAGGGGCCCACAGGGGCCTGCCCGAGGCGCTGGGCTCCGCAGGAAACAAATGGGGTGCCGTGCGTTGAGTCTGCCTTCACCGCACCTGCCGTGTGCTCACAGGCGGCCAGGCGAGGGGCCTGGTGCCGCCAGCCCGACTCTCCCAGTGCCCTCCTACCCATGCCCTCGAGGGTGGCCTGTGTCCACAGCAGGAGGAAAAGGGACCCAGGCCCTCTTCAAAGCCAGAATACATATGTCAGGTGTTTAAAAAGCACAGCATCTCTAGCATGTTCCTTCTGCATGCAAAGCCCAATAACAAACAAAACAAAAACCATGAAAAAAAACTGGAACATTCACCTAAATGTACAAACATTGTTTTGCAGGAGGCGTGAAGAGGAACATGAAATGTTCCTAATGTGCCTAAATACTTGGGCACAGGGAAACAGAGCCCTCTACACACACACCCAGCCTCCTGGGCGCACGCTGCCCCCGGGTTTGGTGAGAGCCAGCCCGCACGGCCCCTCCACCTGGAGAAGGGGGTCTCCCGGGAGGCACGACCCACAGAGCGCTCCTGGCTCTTGGAAGATCTGCGGGCTGAGCGGGCGGGTCTGCAACAGGTGGGGCCCGGCAGCGAGGAGACGCCCGCCCGCCGGGAGGGAGCCTGCGCCGGGCTCTGACGGGACAGGGCGGCGGGCGCCATTGCGGGTCCCTGGGCCCAGGAAGGGCTCTGGGGGGTGGGAGGAGGACGCCTGCCCGGCCGCCTCCACAGCCCACACGGACTGCCCCTCCTGGCATCTCCCTCTTGCCCAGTCCCCACACGTCCACCCCAGGACCGGGCCGCTGTGTAGCTCCTTCCCGGGACGCCAGTGAGAAGTACAATGGTGCCCCTCACGACAGACAGACGCCCTGTTGCACGGCCACTGACATGGGCAGGACGTGCTTTTGCTGCAGCGCTCAGGAGCCCCTCGGGGCGCATGGGGTCCTTGTGCCGCCGCAGGGGGTCCCGGGAGCACGCGGCCCGCTCTCCCCTGTGGGGCAAGGCTGAGCTCCCTCCCCGGTGGACGTTAAGATAGAGGCCAGGCACTTGCAAGTTTTTTCTGCGGAACAGAACAAGCCACGAGGCTGAGGTCCCCGCCTCCGTGGGGAGCGAGGTGGCGCCTGGAGTCCCGGGACGTGGCCTGTGCAGGGTTGGCCTCCTCTGGGGGAGGACGGGGCATGGGAGGGTTATATCTGCAGAACGTGAGAACAGAAGTCGTGTTACAAAGGGTGGTCGGCCGAGGCCCAGGCCGGGGGGCCCCCAGGGGACGCCCCATCAGACTTTCTCCACGGGACCCAGTTGCGTGGCCCGGAACCTGCCCGGTGAAAGGTCCCCAGGCTCTGACCACCCCGCGCCACGCATCCCCCAGGGTCCCTGCCAGGCTAAGGGTCAGAGTGCTCAGATCCAGCAGGATTCTAGATGCTTCTGCCACGACCCAGCACTCTGCTCACCCTGCTACAATCCCGGAAGTAAAAAGGGCAGCAGGACCCACCCACCACGGACGTAAGGATGAGACCCAGGTGTGCACAACCGCTTTACAGGAAGGAGCTGAGTCACCCCGAGGCCCGCCTCCGTGCCCGAGCCCGAGCCCAGCGACGCCCCCCGGGGTGGGCGGCGGGGCCCGAGACTGAGTCACCCCGAGGCCCGCCTCCGTGCCCGAGCCCGAGCCCAGCGACGCCCCCCGGGGTGGGCGGCGGGGCCCGAGACTGAGTCACCCCGAGGCCCGCCTCCGTGCCCGAGTCCGAGCCCAGCGACGCCTCCGGGGTGGGCGGTGGGGCCCGAGACCCGGAAGCGGGAGCGCGGACCCTCGGCTGGTCTCCCGCAGTAACAAGGCCGTAACCCGGGATGCACACGGGCGCGTGGCGGGGGGTGGCCAGCCTGGCTTGGCCACCTTCCGTGGCAGAACTCCATCCGCCCCGATGCGAGAGCACAGGGGAGCTGCCCTGGAGGGGGTAAAATAGGGAAAAGGGGGTCATTTGTGGGGAAAAGTAATGATTCTGGTCCCTGCGACTGGCAACTCCAGACAAGTTCATCCTGGTCACAAAGGTCACACAAAATGCCCTTCCATCCGTGCTGCTTTGGCTAAACCGAGGGCCGAGAGCTTTCTCTGGGACGAACCTACCACCACCCCTGGCCAGCCGCCCGCCACCTGCCCTGCCCGGGGACCCAAGGGCCCACCTCCCGCAGCAGGGCACCCCCAGCCCTGCTGCAGCCACAGCAGCCCACCCAGGCCCTTTGCCCCCCCCCCCCCCCCCGAGAGCCCAGCCTCCTGCAGCGAACATGAAGCCCCTTGCCGGCCTCTCACTCCTTCGGCCTGCTTCCCCTGCCCTCCCCCGGCTGCCCCTGCCCTCCCCCGGCTGCCCCTGCCCTCCCCCGGCTGCCCCTGCCCTCCCCCGGCTTCCTCTGCCCTCCCCAGGCTTCCCCTGCACTCCCTGGCTTCCCCTGCCCTTCTGGCTTTCCCAACACAAGGTCTCTGCACTGTCCTCCTTGCTCCCCACACTGGCGATGGCTCTGTCCCTGCTGCAGGGGCCTCTTGGCGGCTCAGCCCACCCAGTGCTGGCCAGGCCTCCTGCTGACCCTCGGGGCAGCTCCCTCCCAGACTCCGCTCCCGCCTCTGGCTGCCAACCGCACATCATCCAGCATCAGCCGGGCACTGCTGGCCGCCGGGGCAGGAGTACAAGTCACAGGTTGATGGCTGTGGCCTCGGCCACAAGTCCCCACGGTGCCATCCCTGTCCCTCTCACCCTGCAGGGACTCTCAGAGGAGGCCACATGGGCCCTCGGGCAGCTGTCCCAAGAGGCCACCGTCCACATCTCTTCCTGAGACTCTGCCCTGAGCTCAGACCCCTTAGGTCCTTGTCCTCCCTACAAGCAGCCGCCAGCCTGGATGGGTCCTGCCTGGAGGAGCCCGGATTGCCCGGGTGAGCCTGCCAGGCGCCCCCACAGCTGCCCGTGGGTGCAGAGGTGTTGGGAGTTTGGAAGAAAAATCTCAGCTCCTGGCCTGCCCTGAAAAGCCAGAAGGTCCAGCCACACGTTCCTATGGACCCCACACCATGGACGCTGGCCCTTGGAGACTCCCACGCCACCAGAACTGTACAATGCTGGCCGTCCAGCCCGCGGTGTGAGGTCTGAGAGATCACACGCATCCCGGAGAAGGGCTCCTATCTAAGGCCACGTGGGTGTGGGGGTGTTGGGGTTACGGGAAGAAGCGTTTTGTGATGCAAACAATCCCCCCCAGAAGGAGTGTGCTTTTCAAATTTCAATGTTCCTATCCTCCAGAATTCGGTGCATCTGTATTTCAGCAAATGTACTCCTGGGTTTTGAGAGTGGTCTGTTTTCCTTGGAAATCCATTTCCCCGACTCCTGGAAAGACCCTGAGGAAAACTGCGTGGCACACACACATGCCTTTCTAGGAACTCCTCCTTCTCAACCTGTTAGAGCGTCCAGTTCAAAACCTGCTCTCCACAGAGAACGCTGGGCGCTCTGGAACGGGTCTGTTGTAAATGCAAGGCCCCTGTGAGAACATCCTGAGCGCAACGGGGAGACAGCTCCCGCCTCAACGCCAGGCTACTAGCGAAAATGGGGGGACAGATCGCTGGAAGGGCAGTTGCGGGTTTGCTTCTGGAGACTCCAGGAGGACTCCCTGGGCTTTTCCAGAGAATTCGGTTTCCTGCCTAGAAACCCGCTGCGTGTTGAGTCCAGAGG